CACTGATTTCGTAACTTAATTTTGGCACAAATATGCACCGTTTTCAAGTGAAGTGCTATTTAAGAGCCATTTGCTAATTAGGTACTGAAATGTTTTGTAAAAATGTTTTTAAAAACAACGTCCAAAAAACAAGATGTTGTAAAATGTTTTCGACTGAAAAGGTAAACAGAATAATTAGGTACGTGGTCTGTTTTTGTGTGGAAATCCCTCACCGAGTCTAACAGTAGCTTGGGGCTAATCCAATCTATAAGACTCTTACAGACTGACAAAAAACCACCTCAGATCTGTGTTTCCTGTCTCTTACGTTGATACAAGGATACGAGAAACATGTTGTTCTCCTATATCACAAAGTATTTTACATTCACACGGCTGACACGCAATGTGTCACGGGTTCGATTCCCGCACGGAGCAACTCTTTGTGTGATCCACAAATTGTTGTCCCGGGTCTGGGTGTCATGTGTATGTGAACTGGTATGTTTGTAAACGCACCCACGACACAGGAGAAAATCCTAATGGAACGTTCTACGTCCCGAAACAATAATTAATGGGTTACACAAAGACATTTTCTGTACGCGAATCGAAGTAGCAGCCGATTGCCCAGCCAGTATCTACACTACCCGTGCAGTTATAATAAATTTGTAGACACCATAAATTGGTAAGAAGAATCTTTAGGTACTATGAAACTTCGAATTAATAAATCTGAATTATCACAGATTAGACTTTAGACATTTAAAGCTCTTCGGGGAAAATCGGCGACGAATGCTACGATGATGTTAGTATCGTAATTAGACATTCTCACATCGCGACATTCTTTCATATTGACGTGTTATCCTGGCAATTAAATGAAATAACACAAGAAATGAACAACTCTCTCGACTGAAGATTGGGGATTGGTAGGCACGCCATTTTACTGCCACACTCGTAAAACTAATCAAGTAGCTGATGAAATGATTATTTATAAATAAAAACGTCTTCTGTACAAACAGAACTAGAAACCTATTCACTGCATGACTAGCGCAGTGTTTGATATACCTAGGCAGTCACTTCGTTATTTAGGTTCAAATTATTATTAGCAATTATTAAGAGGAAGAACAGTGCGTATAATTATTCAGACAGAAAAACATTTATTCCACACGTAAAAACAAGTGACATGTAGATTATAAACCTTTAAACTTATGGGTACAGTTCATGTCCCAATTCTGTGGTGAAATGCGACCAGTTCAGCATGTGCAAGACAAGGCCTTGCGCTGGTATTTAGCTGGCCCCATAAGTAACTTCTTAATGCACCTGCAGAAGCCATTTAGGTAATGCCAATTGAAAATATTCAATACATTAACCATTACCTATACCTAACAAGTCCTAATTTGGAAAGAGAGCTTAGTTTCACTGACAGACGGACGGACAATTAAATTTTTGACGTTTCAAAAGTGCCTAATTAAGCTTTAATGGAAATAAATGCTTTGATTCTGACTTTTAATAGTCGGATCAGATGTCCAAACGATATTCTTTCTAAATATGTACTGTTCCGATTTTTGCATACAAATTCTATAATTTTTAAGAAATCCGGTAAGATAGCTACGTGTAAATGTAGCTACGTTTCTACGCAAATCTCCATAGCTTCGTCGATGTATTTCATGGACCGGCAGACAACCTTATCAAAGCTGCAAAACACCGAATGTTCTTAATATAAAACTGAATACGTTTTGCACTCGCAGTGCTATTACGAAACAATGCAAAACACATTGTGCGGGTTATGTACCTGTTATCTAATCATTGTATAGAAAAAATGTTTTTATTGTCTATCTGCGGAATTCCAAAGAAAGTTATACTGCGAAGACGATCTTTATGAAAGCCGACGTGAAATAATACTTGCGTTGTGTATCGTCGTATGGTAAGAAGATTAGCGGAGTCTCAATTACTCTCCAATCTCCCTAATTCTCGAATCTCCAACAAACCTCAAATTCCTAATCTACAAATAGCCGGTAACGCATTTGTAATACCTCTGGTGTTTCGAGTGTCCACGGGTGGCGCCGATTGCTTACCATCAGGTGATCCGTCTACTGCGCGCTTACCGGTGTATTCCATAAAAAAGACCATAACTACTACTTAAAAAAAAAACTGGTGGTGTCTCACCGGTGCACCTGTTCCAGTGGAATATAGTGCCCAATAATTCAAGACCTTCATTCACTTATGGTGCGTAATTAGTTATGCACTTTAAGATCATTTCAAAATATGCCATGAACATTTATTTTTCTAGGTACTTACTTGAGCAAAAGTTTAGTGCATTTAGAGATAATAACTCTACCATCCATCGCGTGCCCCACCATTCGTTTTGATAAACTGGCGAAACGGGCACCAGCCTACAGAGTACAGCTAGTTTCTATAACAAATTTAAATGCTCTAGCCTAGTCTTCATAAAATCTTCGACAGTAATACCTAAAACTAGACTATCCTGGCAGTGATGACCGCCGCATTTCGGTCGCAATTATTTTTATTTTATTTTAGAAACTGCTATCATTTTTGTCGGCTACCGGCTGCCTGGAATTATTCCAAAGAATTCTGCCGGGTTCAAAACACTTCATATTCATGGCGTGCGGTGCGAAACGCAAAAAATATTGAATGCAATGACCGATGATGACGTTATTACTAAGTTTAGGTTGTTGTTTGTTTATCTCCTGTCATTACCACACGTTACCTAACAAGTAGATCGAAAGACGATTATATTTCAAACTCTCCAGAATGATTTCTTTTTTATGGGGTATCTAGAGCCAGCAAATGAGTACACGGATCACCTGATGGTAAACAATCGGTGTCACTTATGTCCACCCGAAACACCAGAGGAGTTATAAATTACAAGTGTGTTACCGGCCTTTTGGGGGTATTAAGGAGACAGGTTTTTCTTTAAGGGGGGAAAATCAACGAATGACTGCTCCCGCCTGGGTGAGGCGGGAGGGAGTGTCAGACTCTTACTGACTAAAAACCACCCCGTTCCTTCTCTTGCACGTCGAGCCAGAGCCTCGGTAACCCGTTAGGTTCTCCGCGACAAGGAGACAGGGGTAGGTGGAGTTGGGTCTCCAGTTGTACATTATGAGGGATTTACACGGATCGATTTTTATGGACCAAAATCGTCTTATCAAGTTACATCGCTTGCCCATATTTACCCAGGTGACTAAATCACCTTCGACTGATGAGTTTCAGTCATTCCCTGCCCTCGAACCATCTCCTAAAAAACCAGTGTTTAAGTTTTAAAAAGTAGGTATTTTTGCAGAAAGTAGGATGCCAAAAGACCTCACCCATCGACATAGACACCAGACCAGTATGGATAGCTAGTGGTATCTAGATCAGTTAATTTCAGACTTCCATAGTACCTACTTGCAGTTAAAGTACAAATCTGTTGGTTAAAAAAAGAAATTAAATGTAAGAAAAAGATTAATATGGACAGTGTGTGGAAGACGATGTGATACTCGCATGCTCAGCTCGTGGAGAATGAAAACAAAGAAACGTTGCGCCAGCTCCAGATCCAAATTTTTTACTAAAATAAGAAAATCACGGAGAAAAGAGTTTGCAAGGTGTGCAGGTGTATTATTTCTCACTATTTAAAAATAGCCCAATTCTAGGAGAGATTGAAAACAATGCTTATAGTAGGGGAGCCCATGAAGGGATTTCGGTAGATACTCGAGCGCGTCAGATTAACATATGGGGAAAACCTAGTGTCATGTTGAATATACCCACCATATCCGATCTGATTAGAAGGTGGGGGAGTACAAAAAATTAAAAAATAAGTCTGACTAAATAAAGTCAGTTTCGTCAGATTAAGGGAAGGTAGGTCAATACCATGCTAAAAGAAGTGCGTTTGAAAAATCTGCCCATTCCAACTTGATTTGCAAGGGTGGGGGGATTTTGAAGGGTTCTCGTTTGTACTCTCCAGAACATGCAACCTCACCATGCAAACTGGCAGATTAAGAGTTTTTTTATTATCAAATACACATGGAGCATGTACACTATCAATATCTGACACGCTCGACCACTAGAACAAAAGTTACGCTTAACAATTTCAAAGATCTGTGGATTCCCCCTTCCCCACCGGTGGGGGGTGGAAGAAATTGTCACTAAACCATTTCTTCTTTCTATCAGCATATCTTCAAAATCCAGTAGGTCCCAACGACGCTCAAGTAAATCCAAATTTAGCATCGTGGGCTACTATTCATTTATACAACATTATACTTAAACATCCATCACTATTTTTTTTAATGGTTCAAAGTTCTAATGAATTTATGTATCTTCATGAAATATTCTTGCGCCTGATATTTTACATTATCAGCAAATTGTATAAGTGAGCTTTGCAATTAAAACATGTGTAGGAACTAGACAAGATTAAGTCAAGTTCATTAAAAATACGCAAACATTACTTAAATCTCGTTATCGTTAAGTTAATGTTTACTAGCCAATGGTGATAAGATAATAGTATTGTATTTCTCTGTTCTAGACAAATTGCCTCATAAGCGGCTCGAAAGGTACTGTAATTTTATGTTCAAGTTCAGTATTTTGATTTTAAATAACTTTTAACTTTTGCTAAGTTAAAATAACTTTTTAGTATTTCATAAATTATAAAATAACATTCTAATATTTCATTCATAAATAAGGTGAGTTTTGAAAATAGTTTTCGTCTAGAAATCACTAGAATCGTCTATGCGAATTTTTATTCATTTGCAAAATACGTCACACAGCAAGAATGAGTCAATGTCAACTCAAATTGACGTTTAATTTGACAGTTCTCTGAAGTTGTGAACAGGTTGTTTTGCTGTGGAAAAGGTGTAAAATTAATAAGGTTTATAAGGCGATAATAGCCTGTTCTTTATGCGTATAATGTGATTATATATCTCTAGTGAAACTGTATTTGATGGGAGAGCGACAACGTACAGCAGGACCAGAAGAAATGGCTACTACCAGCACCGCTGTCGCGACCGTCCCCCCGCAGACTCAGGAGGTAATCCCGACCACTGTTGTGATGTTCCTTATCTTTTCTATTTGATCATTTAATACTGCGATACTGATATCTGTAACATTTTATTCATTTCGAATCTTATTGTTTTTAACGGCAGTATGGAAAAATTGAGAAAATTTTGCGTGTGCGTTTTACGCACGCAATATACGTTTTCTAAACACGAATACTCGACGAAATCGGGTTTATTAAAGGATATAAACGTGTTAGATCTGAGTAGAGTGATCGCGGGACCATTTTGTTCCATGACCCTCGGTGACTTGGGCGCTAATATCATAAAAGTGGAAAGTTTGGACGGAGATGAAGCGCGTAAATGGGGACCGCCGTTTATCAAAGACAGTAAAGACTCTTTTTATTTTCTCTCAGTGAACAGAAATAAAAAGAGTATTTGCATTGATTTCAAGAACCAAGAAGGTAAGTCTTGTTTTCATTTTACTTATTTTCATTGTTGAGTTTGCTTCTATTATCATATTATTTCAAAAAATCTCACTGGAACATTCTGTTATAACACAAGGTTATAGTCAGGAATGAAATCATCTGATTTATCACCATATTGATTAGATCTAATAGTATCATCATGTAAGCAGTATACTTAATTGCTTTAAAACATACACACACAGACACACATACAGAACAGTAATTATAACACAAATATTTCTATAAGAACATGTTTTTACCTGGTCACAGAAAGTTTGCCTAAATATCAGCTAAAATTGTCAATTCAGTTAAAGTGTAGGTACACTTTAACTGAAGTGTAGGTACACTTTACCTGTAGGTACAGGTAGGTACACACAGCATGGCAACAATTTTTCAAATATATTTTCAAGTTCATCTTAGATAATAAAATTTAAACAGACAGTTATCAAAGATAAGGAGTGCTCCAATACATATATCATAACATTGAAAATGCTTAAATTGTTAAGAATATTGCATAGAAGCATGTAACACTAAGAATATTTAAAAAAATGTATTGATCTTCACCCCCTATGAATTTTCTCTGACCATCATACTTTGCTCTTCATTCTAGATAATCTAGATAATAATAATAATAGTCTGTTAAATAGAAAAATTACATAACTTATTCAGAAAATACAAATTTTACAGTATAAGTGTTTGAACTTTTTTATTTCATTAATTTTTTTTTAATCCTAATGGTAGTTGCGATATCTCGTGAACTTAGCATGAACTATTTAAAGTGCCATTTTTACATATAAAATAATCTTGTTAGTAGACTCGTTTTATGCAATAATATTATTTTCCAAAAAAATATGAAAAATACCATTTTCCCATTCAATCGACGAATTATTAACTAGTTAACTCGTCGAGTACCGGTTTTGTAGACACAATTATATAACAATAGGTTGCGGTCACCGGTGACCGCTTGGTGTTTGACAGTTTAAAGCACCAATTCTACATTATAAACAACAAATTGTCACTTAAACAATAACGGGATATTTACAAAATCTATTAGTTGTTGTCATGTGTTTTTGTTTTACAATGAAATTAATATTTTATGTAAATAGGAACTTCAGGAACAGAGCAGCAAATATATTTTGACCTCTTTGAAGTTCGACTTTTTCCCTGTGCGAGCAGGACACCAATAAGTGTGTATTACTAAGAGTAAAAGAGACAAAAATATGTTTGTTTAAATTTTAAGAATTTTGTTTTCAATAGTCACACTTTGATGATAATTAATGTTTGTCAATTATTATGTTTTTGATGTGACTGCTGATAATTCGCATTTCACGACTTTACGACACCAAACATGGTTATTTATCTTATTTATCTCTCTTGGATCATTTTACCACCATTTAACCAAGATTGATAACTATATGCTTGTAGAAACTACATAACTACCTTACCTAATTAATATACCATCATATAAATCATTTTATTACAACACAATAAAGTTGAAAATACATAAGCAATCTTTGTTAAAAGCACTGATTAAATATTTCATTTTCAGGCAAGAAAGTCATATATGATTTAGCTAGAAAATGTGATGTTTTGGTAGAAAACTTTGTTCCTGGCAAGCTAGACCAGCTGGAGATTGGCTATGATAAACTGAAGGTCATTAACCCCAAACTGATATACTGTGCTATCACTGGGTTTGGACCCACCGGACCGTATGCTAAGAAACCTGGGTGAGTAGAATACAAAAAATAAGTAATTCTAACTGCAAAAGAAATTGTCCATCTGCACTGCCCAGTCCCCAAGCGGTCACCGCGTGACCGCTCTCCACTTACTCTATTATAGACCTCATTTCTGATATTTAGAGACTATGTAGTCTCTAAATATCAGATACATTTACATTACATACATTACATTTGTTCACACAAATGTTTGTGTGAACAAATCTTGTAGATTTTTCTTAATTGCGGATTAATAAGTTAAAATAGATGGTAGTATGAGGAACCCTTGTAATCCTTTACATTTCATCAAAACAATACATACTAAATTGGATTAGGGATAATATAATCTTATCCAACTTTAGGACCAGTCATAAATCGAACGGCTAATCCTTATCTGCGATTTTATTGAATGCAGTAAATTATAACAATATTATCTACCTACATAAAGTACCAAAAACTTCATTCACATATTTCAGGTATGATGTAATAGCAGCAGCTATGGGTGGCCTGCTAAACACGACTGGAGAACCTGATGGAGATCCCTGCAAGGCAGGCGTCGCTATCACAGACATCACTACAGGACTCCACGCCTTCGGAGCCATCATGACAGCTCTATACTACAGAGAAAAGACAGGAAAAGGACAGAGAATTGATTGCAATCTCCTCTCAACACAAATATCCAGTATGATCAACATAGCAACTATTTACTTGAACTGTGGCATCGAAGGCCAAAGATGGGGCACAGCACATGCTAACCTTGTACCTTACCAAGCCTTTAAATCTAAAGATGGCTACATGGTCATTGGAACAGGATCAAACCCACAGTTTGCTGATCTCTGCAGGATTTTAGGCAAGGAGGAACTGATAACTGATGAGAGGTTCAAGGATAACTCAAAGAGGGTTGAAAATAGGAAGGAAATCATCAGAATTATTAGTGAAGTTATACGGACAAAGACTAATAAGGAATGGTCAGAGATTTTCAAGAATGCCTCGTTCCCATGCGGTCCTATTAATAAAATGAAGGATGTATTTGACGATGAACATGTTAAAGCTATAGAGTTGGTGAAGGAGCTGCCTCATCCTGACGCTGGTACCGTGAAGGTTGTAGGACCCCCAACAGTGTATGGGTTAGGGGGTAACGATGCGAGGTTGGCACCCCCAAGGTTGGGCCAACATACTCGAGATATTTTGGCCAACTTTCTAGGGTATCATGATAAAAAAATTGAAGGATTGTTGAATAATAAGGTTGTGCAATAATAGTTTATAATTTATTATATAGGTACAAGTGTACAACTATGAAATATATTTGAATTATTTTAATATCCAGGTTTGGTAAACTAAGCTAATCTTTAAGGTTTAAGTTATTTTGAGTAATTCTCGAATATTTACTGGACATCGATTTTATTAACTATTCTTAGAATACTATACTACAGGGTGTTTGACATGAACCAATTTAATTATTAGTTTAATTAAAATAATTATACAATCTATTAATTGTAATTTAATTTGTAGTACGTAATACGAAAAGTGAATAGAGAATATGAATTCCAATTCTGTACCTAGATGTACAAGATAATAATATCTACTTACAGTTAGTATTATAATATCAAAAATAATTATGCATATGCTAAAGTTGAGAAATAAAAACTATTTCTGCATGATGTTTATGTTTATTTGCCCGTTTATTAAACTAGTATTTATTAAAATAAAAACCTATGTTAAAGCAGTCTTATGTTGAAATACTCAAACGCCACTCAATTATAAGTCGCGCTTATGTGTATCTATATATATAACACTTCAAATCTATATATATAAAAATGAAACCCGTTTCCCGTTGTCACGCCATAACTTGAGAACGGCTAGACCGATTTGGATGATTTTTATGTGTTGTGTTTGTTATTGTCAGGAGAAGGTTCTTAAGACAGAAAAAATCCTGAAAATCCTATGGGAATGGGATAAAACGAGATTGCGCGTACGAAGTCGCGGGCAGAAGCTAGTTCTTTATAAAATGACAGAGATGGCACAATATTTGAGTACAAAAAATTAATTAGCCTTTCAGCAGAGTTAAAGAAGTATGCGTAGGGGCTGTAGTAGGCGGCACTATTTTGCCAGCCTCCCCATAGACAAAAGCGAGTATTTAAATGAATTTGTATAAATAATTAAGTACTACAGCTACCTATTAATAGAATGATACGTAAGTATCAGAGTTTGCAGTGTACACACCATGTTTTATCTCAGGTAGATTCAAATAATTTGTTATCAGATCTTCAGGCTACTGTTTAGTCGGTTACGTAATTTCTTATGTTTATAGTAGGTACATAATACTGTTATATTCTCAACATTTTTCTTAGAAAACCATTAATATAAAAACGATGGACTCTGTTGCCATACAAATATGCATTCAAGTAAGATGTTGAGGTGTGGGGAGCTGGCGTAAAATAAAATAAATAACACGTCTGTTTCGTTTCACCGTGCTCTTTATTCTGTCCTACTAACTATAATAACATATACCCCACTTCAATGTAAACAGAGGTCATTATTGCCAAAAACTATCTACTTTTAAGACCAGATGCAATTCTAAGTAAGTATAACACATACATACTTGCAAAGATATTGAAACTTACAATATAATAATAAACATTTTATATTGTTGCTCCAGGAGCCGGTGGAGCGCGTCGCAGTGATCACACTCCGGCCGACCCGTGCCGAGACACGCAAGAAGGTAGTCTGGACGGAAGACACCGTCGACAATGAGCATATGAACAAGAAGAAGTCCAAATGTAAGTAAGCTTTAGTTAGGTACCTGCTTAAGTTGCTGTACGAATGGATGTTTAATGTGACTAGAATTTAGATTCAATTTAGTAGTCTAAAAGTTTGTCAGGTTCTCTCCTTTTAAACATAGTCATGGCTCAAAAAAAGCCGTTAATGCAGATTTGTGTCCAAATGAATGTAAATAACTAAACACACTAAAGAAATAGATTCCATCAAATGTGTGGTTTAAATATAATGTTTGTCATATTTAACCTCTTAAGCGCTTAGTTAAATATCAACGCGCTGCTACTAATCGAAAAAAAATGAAGATATCTAGTCTAATAAGCAGGAGCAATTGTGTTAATATAACGAAAAAATCAACAAGCGTTTAAAAGGTTAATTATTACCCGACTACGACGAAGCCAAAAGGAGGGTTATGATTTTAGTGCAATATAAAGATTAGGGAAAGATCTATGTCAAATTAGTACTACCTTAATCTTACAAATAGGTAGCCGAAAACCGTTTAAGCTCAAAAATATCAAATTGACATAACATCCATCCAGGTTGCTGCATATACGAGAAACCACGAAAGTTCGACGAGTCGGATTCGTCGGACAGTGACGACGATGAGTGCGAGCATTGCTTCGGACACGTGGAGAAGAAGAAGAAGGGCAAGCACCACCACAACCACGACGCCAACTGTCCACACAGTGACACCGCCGCCACTGCGCAGGGGGGGACTGTTACTCTCACTGAGGTATAATGATACTGCACGAAATTGTTACAATGTTTCTTTTCTCTTTAAGTAATCACTAAGATTTCCTCCGTGTCGTGAATGCATTTACAATACAAATATACAAATTGGTATACATAACATAACGCTTTTATAATAACTATCGTGAGACATACTAAATTAAGTAAAAACGCGGGTTACTCACGTGAGCTGCGCGACATAGCCGCGACCGCGCACGCTGCTCATGAGGAAGAACCCCTCTGTGGTTCAAAACTAGTAGAGCTTTTCTCAGTATATTCACTCAGGATATTCCCACTGTACACTGTAATACCCACTTTTCCCTATTTATGTTACGAGTCCCATGTAATAGGGGGTGAGCCTATTGCCATATACCGGAATATACTACTGAGAATTTTTAAAAACCCTAGTAATATTTTTGCCCAACCTGGGAATAGACCCAGAGACCTCTTGCCTGGCAGTCGCACTTGCACTCGGTCAATGAGGCAGTTTGAAATTGAAATATAAAACATACAAACATGCAGTGTTCATCGAATCCAATAAATTTTCAGTAATTATTAAATGTCTCGCTTTACAACCACAATCGTAACTGTTAGAATAGCATTCAGTCAGAGTACGGAATATACGACCATACTCAACACTATTTAGCTTATTCAATGTCCAAGCGATACGGATGCAATGGGCACTAGTGACTTGTGACTAGTGTTGCAATTCAAGGGTCCGAAATTACCGATCGGAATCGAATCCAAAAGAAAGGGGGCTTTCTTTTGGATTGACACAATTTGTGGATCACATCAAAGAGTTGTGTGTATTCTGTTTTGGTTAGACTAAATTGGCGTCAAGACACCTAATTTCTTGTTATCACTGCTGTTAAACCACTATAATCTAAATCGAATCAAGTTTTCAATCTATTTAATCTCTATCCGTTGCGTAGTTTTAGAGATCAGTTTATACAATGGGACAAACAGAAAAAGCAACTTTATTTTATACTTTGTAATGAAATCTAATTTATTAATAATTAATTTGTCTACAGACGGAGCCGGCGCCGGCGCCGGAGCCGACCGCGACGCTCACACTACAGCCGTCGCCCACACCTGCGCCTGCGCCGCCCGACAAGAAAGACGAGTAACTAACCACACGCACTGTTAAATAAGTCAGCTTATATTTAATCTAAATAATACATAATTTACCCACACATAGACAAATGACCGAACTAAGGTTGTAGGAAGTTGCTGGATGCAGGTCGCTTCCATCCGGCCTATTTGGACGTCATTGGGGGAGACCTATGTTCAGCAGTGGACGTCCTATAGCGCATAAGATGATGAATAATATTTACTGTTATACTTAAATGTGGGCACCTCTGTCTACTCCTTTAAAAGGGGCGTGGGGGGGGGGGGGTATTGTCTCTGATAAGCCTATATCTCGTTTAGAAAATGTGAAGGTTTTTAATATTATATTGTATGGATAACAACAATTTTGGTTATCATGTTTTCCGGCTTACTCGCATAATTATTTGACGAGGAAGTTAAATTTTTAAGCCATGCTACTAGATGCATGGCCGCCGCGCCCTGATACCACGCCTCGGGTATCGCGGAATGCTGCTCAAGAATATGAGCCTCCAGCATAGCTTTAAACTAGTCGAGTTCCTCGTTAAATAATTACGTGAGTAATCCGAAAAACATAATAATTAATTTAGTATGTCTCACGAAAGTTATAATATAAACAATTTTGGTGTTACATGAAAAATTTTTTTTAATTGATTTTTGATGGAGTGTAATTGCTATCTCTTTCATCTTTTAGTAATTAAAAAGATACTAAAATCGTCTTATCGACGATACAAGTGGTCGCATACGTTTGATGCTTGATCATAGAAAATTATTATTGTGGTATTTTGAATTTTAAAATACTCATTGATACTTGGTAGCACAAATTAAGACTAATATGAATAATTACCCTGTCCTCTTCTTACATTCGTTATTAGTGAAGGGTAGCAACACTCCAAAGTGCACGGAAACATATTATTTAGTATAATGTAAGCTAACTTATTTACAGAGTTTAATTTACGGACGTCGGCACATGAAGCTACACCAATGTATCGAAACTTTTCAATACATTTTCGACTTAATTACAATTACATAAGAACGGTTTCACTGGGCGAATAGTTGAACACAGTGCCAAGCAATGTGTCATTAGTTTCATTTCCTAGAGTTATTGGTGCTTGGGTTCGATTCCCGGGCCGGAGAAAGAATTACTGGAATTTTAATAAAAATCTTAGCAGTAGCACCAAGTTTGGAATTGTGCCACATGGATGGCAATAGGCGCACCCCTATTACATGGGACTCATAACATAAATAGTGAAAAGTGGGTGTTACATTGTACAGTGGCATTAAGTGCCGTAATATGCACCTCTGCCTATCCCTTCGGGGATAAAATGCTGATGTTATGTTGCTAACAGCACGGAATATGAAATTCAATACTAGAATACCTATGTGCAGCCTGTTGTTGTATGTAATTGTGTGAATAACGTTAAATTAACTATAAATAAAAGTACCATTTTGGGATAGCTTGATGTGCACTCTGTTGTCAGCGACAATTTGTTAGTTAAACTAATATTGTGTAAGATTGACTGATTGGAAGCGAATATCGCGGGGTAAGGCAAGACTAGAGGAAAAGAATCGAATCAAGTTACTAGGATTATTAAAATTGAACGCCTTGTGATGGAAAACAATAAATATTAGACTTATATTTTCATTACACTCTTAATTGAGTCATACAGCTTACTCGGACAACTACTTGACGGGGATTATGGGCCCTTATTGTGGTTTGAAACTAGTTGGGTTATCTCGTTAACTCGTCGAGTACCGGTTTTGCAGACACAATTATAGAACAATAGGTTGCGGTCACCGGTGACCGCTTGGTATTTGACAGTTTAAATAGTTGCGTGAGTAAATCGTTTAACCGAGTTGATTATTATGTTGAATTATCCTGTTATTCAATTTTGAAGTCTATTGCGTTTTGCATAAGATTTATTTTAGCTTATGATTATGACTGTCTAAAAGATGAATTTACGATATCTCGTATTGAAAAGCCTTCCTTACTTTCACGGAATAGAACTCAAATTTGAATGAATTAGTTAATGAGTTTAAATGTGTATGAATATGTTTGCGTCTCTGTCTAATACGTTTATTTTATTAGATGTGTGACAGAGAGAACAATACTTCCCTCATTCAGTCATAAAAATGTCTTACTTGAATATTAAAAGTTCCTAAATCGTGTCTCGAGAGTAAATAAAGGAAATTGAATTGAATTCTGAAGGTGATAAGGATGTAATTCGCGTGGCAGGAAAACTTAAATGTTTAGATTAAATGTCTTGACATGTGTATAAGTTAGCTCTATAATTATGTACGTGCGTGTTTACATTGAGTGTACTTTATTATAATTTATTCCCTTATTTTTATCGTTAAGTAACTTAGGTGTAGCTATTAAACCTTTTATTTCAATTTATTTTTGTTTTATTTTCTTTTTTAAATGTGGTGCTTGTTAATAGAAATTGATGTTCTAAATTAAGTATTATTAATTTATTTAGGTGGCAACATTAAGTATGGAAGACAGTGTAAACGGAACGCTCCCGAAGTAGTGTCATTAAGTGATCAAATAAGTGTTGTATAGTCGAGCATATGTACCCCTGCGTATGGAGAGCGCTGGCAGCGCGGGCGCGGCGCGGAGATGCGCGTGCAGGTCGGCGTGCGCGGACTCATACTGACTAAAAACCACCCCGTTCCTACTCTTACACTTCGAGCCGGAGCCCCGGTAACATTTTACGTTCTCGCAGCCTCCCGAAACGCTGACAAAAAGAAATTATTTTTACAATTTTAATTGTTTTTGTTTTCGTGTTATTCATGCAACATCAACCTTAAACAGTTAATTACAACTATTATTACGTAAAAGAAACATTTAATTACTTACTTTTCTGAAAATAAAACTTTTACAATCACCTGTCGGCGATTTTCGATAGCGTTCCGTTTACACTGTATATTCATATTATTATAAAAGGCCTATAATATATGTACCTTAATAATCATAATTCAACTATAATAAATAATAATAAACCTAACTTAATCAATATCATACATTAAAACCCCAACACATTTATCCGTAACTACATAATTATATTAAAGTTACATATTATAAACATAAAATATTTAAAAATATCAGTGGTTGTGTGAAGGTAGTTGGAATAATAACAGACTTGCGTTGACTTTAGTCAAGTCGCTGTCATTCCTTGTTTAGCTTTTGATGCGTTGTGTGACATGAATGTTATACTCGTTCTTCAAAATAAGGTGAGAGCAAAACCAAATGAAGTTTTTTTTTATGGCATAAGCCGGTAAACGAGCAGACGATCACCTGATGGATAGTAATCGGCGTCGCCCAAGGACACCTGGAACACCAGGGGCGTTACAAGTGCGTTACCGGCCATTTGGAGATTAGGAGTTTGAGGATCGTTGGGGATTCAGGGATAGAGGGGATTTGGGGAAGGGAAGGGTACCTAATTGGGCCTCCGGTAACCTCACTCACACGACGAAACATTGCTTCACGTCGGTTTTCTGTGAGGCCGTGGTATCACTCCGGTCGAGCCGGCCCATTCGTGCCGAAGCATGGCTCTCCCACACTTAAAAGTTGCTAACAGCTTGTTAAAAATCACATTAGTTTTTGTTTTCATTACCTATATATATAGAGTATATCAATTTACCTAATCCATAATAATTTACCTAGAGACTGGCCCGCGTAGGAAAAGGATTAAATGTAGCCTATAGCCCAGCGTAGACCTTTAAAGGCGCGGTGAAGATACTGAGGATAAATCAATTTAAAATAAGCTTAACTATTATGCGATAGGTACATACAGATATCTTCGCCGGGCCACCGCCGATCCATCCTATATCACTCTATTCCCTATCTTGTCGTAAAAAGTTACTAACTATATGTTCAGTTCGCTGTGTTCAGTGTACATTAGCTTAAAGAAGTTTTTTCCGACTACCCTGACATAGCCTTATATTCCCATGTTAGTAGACTAGTGATTGTTAGACCTATGTAATACTATTATTGTACATCTTGTACGCAATTGTTGTTAGTGAAATATCGTTTATTTTCAATAAATTATATTGAGAACGTATACTTCATAGTGTTCATTACATGTGCAGTTACCCTATTTCTCATTCCTTCATAACAATTTTTACAGGTTTTCCGCATGCAATGCATGCAATAGTGAATCCTTGTTAACTTTAGGGTTTAGTCTTCAATATACGACCCGTAAGCTGTTGTACTGTAGCTCTGTGATGATAATACTGTACCTAAAATATGCATTTGTCGTTGCCCTTACTCCTCAGTGTCGCTAGGAACCACACATTTAACAGACCGAGCAAAATCGTTCTCTAATCAACCTAAAGCTGTCAATCCCCCCGCGTTAAAGTTATGACAAACTCCCATATGAAGAAGAAATAGCGCAGGATTGTCTTAGGCTGTTGATCTTTAGGTAAGTAAGTAAAAAAACGACCAAATAATATATTTATTAATTTATTGAAACATTACATAGGTACAGTAAATTTATGCTTATCAGTCCTTATTCAGATCAGCAGTGTGTCAGCATCTGTACCTATACTGATGATAGTGATAGATTTCATAATAATATTCGCAATAGGTAACACCTACGGTTATAATTTAGAAAATTAATACCACCGCGTGAAAACTGTTGAAGGCAAGTCCTCCGCTAACATAAATGCGGCGATTTAGGCGCTACGCAACTGTGGACACTTTTTTCAGTAATCGACTTCAAACGCTATTTAAACGATATTGTTAATGCTTGCGCAGGGAGTGGATGATTTCATACTGGTGCTATTGAAATCAAATATGCATTGGTAGCTTGTGTCTGACACCAGACTCCAGTGTCCACATTTGCGACCTGCGTTAGGTTTTCCACATTAATATATTTAAATGCTATATTGTAGTAGGTACATAATGTAAGAAATCTCAATAAGGTAATGTGATGTTTTCTATGTTTAACTTTAATATTTATGCTGACCCGACATTATACTAGCTATGGAAAGTGTATGACATAAAAGTTAATAATTAAAACATAAATTGCGTTACTCTTATTAATAGGGCAACCGAAAAGTTTTGACCCTGAGTAAAAAAAAATTGAATGGGGCCTACCGTATTTTTATTACACACCAGATGGTGCTAGTGTGAACCTCTCGTCCTTCGTCCAATAGGGAATTAGCTAGTATCACCTCATTGGACGTTCAATACTAGACAACTGCAGTGATTGGACTAAAAATCTCTTTCGACATTTGCGCCATCTATTGACCGAAAATACGGTAGACCGCATTAAGTAAGGCAAGTTAAATCTTACAAAACTTAATAATACAGAATGCGAAAGATTTAAAGTATGTTTGTCGGATTGAAATTTGGGACAGGGTTAGATATGGTCTGGAATATCACCTACGACTACTTATTATTCCACGGCACGGGGGCAAAGCAGCTGGCCGAAGTAATCAACAAGTTTCATAGATTTTAGTTTATACCGATAACGGTTTACGTCTCGTCACCATGTCTACAGATTTATGGTAGGTGTGCCACCCACACGCACAAAGCACTTCACATCAAGCTTCCTTGTGCATTCTGCTAAGGAGTGGAATTCTTTACCAGAGCCTATATTTCCAGAACGGTATAACCTGGGTGTCTCCAAGGCCCGAGTGAATATGTGCTCCATCGTAGACGGCATCATTGCTTACTACCAGGCGAGATAGTGGTCAAACGTCGGACTATCAAATATAAAAAAAAAAAAATGTCTGGTTTCTGAATCATCATTTCGCTTAAGGCTCAAAACTTTCAACTGGTAATGTAGTATCACTTTGTAGCACTGACCATAAACAAAATAAAACTGCGAACATTGTGTGATCTTTTTATCACCAAAATTACGTATCCAGCACGATTGCATTTAGTGTCAAAATTTTAAACATAAATGAAACAGTGTTTAATTTCCTTGTTATTTTCGTACCTTTATATTTTTAATTTACATAAAGTGAAAAAGAAGATCAAAATCAACACATGTTTTCAAACTTTGCCATCAAATGTTTATATTTTCAGGTTTACATATAAAATAGTGTTACTAATCAGAATTTCCCCTCTAGGCAAGTGGTATACACACTAGTCAGATTCATTCATTTTACGTTAACGACCTACGGGATGCCTAAGTGTGGAGACAGCTAAAGAAGTACCTGTATAAGGTTTTTACTGTTTGTAGATCTGTTTCTAACTGTTGTGGGATAAATGCATAGTTATAATATTCTTTTCAAAACAGGTTTGCTAAAATGCAACATTTATTTACTAAAAATGTATGATAAATAATTGTCTCACGATAAAATGTGATGCAAAATTATAGACTGCCTCGTTGGCCGAGTGGTCGCAAGTGCGACTGCCGAGCAAGGGGTGTCAGGTTCTATTCCCGGGTCGGGCAAAGTATTACTGGGTTTAATAAAATTCTCAGTCTGTAATTGTGTCCGGTATTATAGGCTCACCCCCTATTACATGGGACTCATAACATAAAATAGTGAAAAGTGGGTGTTACATTGTACAGTGGCATAAGTGCCGTAATGTGCACCTCTGCCTACCCCTTCGGGGATAAAATGCGTGATTTTCTGTTATGTGAAAAATTATAGATTCCAATTTCTATGGTACTAGAAATTAATATATAATCTCTGTATTGACTAATTTTAATATTAATATTGTAACGTCATGGATAATTGATAATCAGCCTATCAGGTAAATCTATCAAATAATGTTTTATACAATAATTAAATTAAATATCCTACAAACAGATGAGTAATTAATACATCAAAGATTAAAAATATCGACATTTAAGTCCCTAACTGCAATACTCAGGGACATTCAATGATTAATTAAACCATTCGTTAGAAACGATTATTTTCCGAAAACAATAGGGATGATGACAGGGTATGAAAATTAAAAATCTAATTAGTCCGTAAGTTAGGTAATGAATAAATATTAGACACGTATTTTTTTATTTTGTCGTATAATAAAACAACTCTTAGAACGAATCAAAGTTTAGGAGTGGGGGCTAAAACGTCATTTCTACGTATAACATATACATAGAGGTGACGTCACGCGACCTTTCAAATCAATATATCGTCGAAAGTATTCGTTTCTGTAGGAAAATAAAAAATACATGTCTAATGATTTAAAATAATTAACCAGGCGGACATTAAAATAAAAATTAGGTATCTAACCTATTGCTAAGGACAAGCCATTAAATGACTCTGAGTACGGCGGTAAGTATACAAATATAGGTTATATAGATATAGATAAGATCTAAAACTGATTTCTAAAAGTATTTCTTTGATTTATGTTTAATATCCAATGCATTAGGTTCGATTTCCAACTTTCTCATTGGATATTTCGATGGGAATAAATGGTAATATTCTCGTACATTAAATACTACATAATATTTTGTAAACTGCCTACCCGTTCGGGGACTAAAAAGCGTGATGTTACATTGTTACGTATGTAATACCTACAAAATTATTTTTAATACATTAATTAGCAATTCTCAATTGCTAACTAGCAATTGGGAATAACAGACAAATACATCAATTTAATAATAATCTAATCAATAAATCAAATTTAACAAATAAATGAAACTAATATTTACAGCATTTATGTAAATTACTCGAGGATTCTCAACTCATTTCAAACCAAACCGGCGCTCTCCAGTCAGTTACGTGACGTCATTCGTAGCGCACTCAGCTGTTGATTATGAGCCCCAGTGTAGCTCGAAACTAGTCGAACATCCTCAAATAGTTTACACGAGCAAACTATAAATATTAATTAAATACTAAGTCTCATGATAATAACTATACACAAAATAAATAAATACCTACTAACATTATTATTACATTATTTATTTGTCTACAGAATCACATAAAATGGTTAGATATTTATTATTTATCTATCAGGTTTTTATATGGAAATGCGTAATTAAATTTTTTACTATGTCATTTAGTAGCAATGATATTGTTTTTACACCAACCTAGCTACTCACTTTGAGACCAATATATATATCTGTGGCATATGGCTGAAATTAATTACTGTTTTCAACCCACAATCTTTAGATTACGGTCGATATTTGAGATTGGTTTTATGGGAATACTGTTAAAAACCCAGATCAATCCAGAGGTTTTTACAGTTTTATTTCGACCGATAGTAATTGAATACTTGCTAGTCGCAATTCAATACTTTTTTCGAACTGTTAAAAACGACAGTTTTCGAGATTGTGTATCAAACAGGATACTTATTTCTTAAAAATTTGCTGGTAAAATAATAAAATTAAGTTGGTCATAAAATCAATTAATGAAAGTGTGATAATTTTTTAATATTCTACAGGTAAAATAATTTATTTTTGATGAAGGCAAGTACCCAATTACTATAGTCCAATCAGAATTACTGTGACATGCCTAATAATGAAATCGAAATAGCTTACTTCTTTTGTATGTATACTTACTTTTTCTAAGAAAAACATTCCTCTGAATATTTCGATACATTATGCCAACAACTACCAACATTTGAGCCAACGCTATTTCCCAAACAAAGATTGGACAAATAACTTTAGTGCTATTGGAGCCAAAGTGTGAAGCCGGCCAATAAAACAAGCTTCTGATAATCATGATAACTTATAAAAGACATTTATAAATAGGCAACTAATTCATACTCCGTTGTACCTGAGATCCAGTCTCGCAAATCATAAACTACTATAAAATAATAACAACTATTAAAGCCATAAGTAATTAAGTACGCCTCGCACTTTTGAAGAATAGAGATCATCTTCGCAATTTCCTGAAACAAAGAGAAAACAATAACTATAGAAAGGATTAACTATTTAAAAAATATAAAGGGCAAAAAATCAGCGACTACCTCAATAATAACTATGCAATATAGAAATGCATCTATCGACAATATGTATTCAAATGAAATTCTATTAAGATGGGAACTAATTATCGAATGTTTGTTGATAGGATTTTTTGTCTCCTGCCTTAACTATTAATTATCACACGCAAAAAGCAGACTTGCTAACCGGAACCCCGGAAAAAATACAGATTAAAAAGAAGTCCTCTTTCACGTCTGTCAATACAAATTACAATCACGATAAATTGGACGATAAACGGACGGATGTTTTTAGCAATGGGATGTTCATTCTTGGTTAATATTTAGATGCATAATTTATTACAGTTTTTAGCAATGAAATCCCAGTACTTCTTACTTACCTATTCAAAGGTTTCTCCTTGTAAGTGATGGCCTTCCTAGGCCTCCGCGTCCGTCCCTCGCCGACGGTCCCCCCGGCGCCGCTGCTGTCGCTGTCGTCGAGTCTGCCGCGCCGACTGCTCTGTCCGCTGTCGCGGCCGTCCTGGCTGCCCAGTCGGCTGTGGCGGAGCGTGGAACTGGAGATGAATAGTACATACTTAATGGTACAAATGTTAACTATAGATAACTTTATAACTTTATGGTTAACAACCAGAAACGATTATAAAGACACCATGTATATCTCCTCTTTAGATAAGCACGGGTTAATCTCTTAACTTTGTATTGTATTGTCGTTGTATCAAAGAGGCGGGCATAATTTTATATGTTGCTTTGTGCGACTAAGGTCAAGGGGGGATCAATCGTACAAGGAGAGGTTATCAATTTCAATCAAACTAACTTTACAGAGATTAACAAGATAATAAAGTTAAAAATCGATTAAAACTTGATAGTTTGCGGTAGCTGAAAGTAATGAAGAGTGCTGGGTGGGTGTGTACAATAAAACAAGATGTACCTGTCCCTGGAGTGCACGAGCAGACTGCGCTCGTCGAGGTCGCGACTGTGTCGCCCCCTGCCGCTAAGGGCCGCCTCCCGCACTGACTCCGGCACTTCCTGGTCTATGCTTCTAGCTTCCCTGGTAACGACGATTATTGCTTAATAGTAGTATTAGTTGAGGAGTTACTTCTTTAAGTGATTTCGTTTTCGTTTTAAGGGCTTTCGGAACTTATCTTGTTACATTTATAAGTTAATTTTATATTTTTAAGAGCAAATATACTGTTTTTTAGCTTATTTACAATAATAAATTCATTATTACTTGTACACTAATGTACAATGACTTACGACACAATAACTCTGGAGTCTGTAGCCCCGTTAGGGCTGGGTGCGTCGAATGGTGGCACCGTGCGGGGCGACCGAGCCTGCTTTGCCGGAGACAGGGACAGGGGACTGCCGTCTAGGCGCATCTTAGCCACCAACACCTTTAGCACTCGTCCATTCAAGCTGGAAATATAAATTGTAGATAATTAGAGGGAATAGTGGCTATATCGTGTACCACATACGATAAACTTAGAGCTTGTAGCTGAAACTAGCGTGATGAGTCCATTTATGTAAGAAAGTCATCACTTTTCAAAGTTAAATATATCAAAATTCGCCAAACCAAGCACTTTGAGAGTCTAACTAGGCAAATATTTGTAGAATGTGTGTATTGCAGGCACCTGGTCCGACTGGTCCGCCTGGAGGCGGCGGGGCGCGGCGAGTAGTGCGGCGTGGCGGCCGGCGACGACCCGCGCGGCCGGCGCCGCACCGTCGGGGAGAACGACACCTGCACCGGGCTCGGCTCCATCTGCGGGGAACGTACACTGATACTTTACTGCACTGGATTCGACATTGCGACGGAGAACTTCTGTAGATGCCCTTTGCCTAATCTTTGTTTTCATTCTTAAATTTTTTTAGGACTTTTTTAACACAGTTCACGCCAGTTCCTTCGCATCTTTTGTCTATCTTTGGATTCGATATCATCGATATCATCTTGACAACTTGAGACCTTCGGTCGACAATCATATTTGAAAGTCTAGACAAATGATTATTATCTATATCAAGGCTAAGTGACGGTAAAATAGATAAAGATTCCCATTGAGGAGATCCTCTAATGTTTCAACCACCTAAAAATGTACATGATTGCTTTCCTGGGACTGAAGGCAGATGCATTAATGAAAAAAAAAAAAGTATTAAAAGTACTTACTGGTACATTTTCATCAGTGTTCCTGGTGGATGTGTTTGGTGTCTTGTTCCTCTCTGTTGTGGAGTCTAGTGTGAAGCTCCTACCATTCCTTGGTGTGGGTTCCTGAATAAATAATACGTACATTGATTTTATGAAAGTGCGGCAAACGAACAGATAGATCACCGGATGGTAAGCAAACGGCGCCGCCCATAGACACCCACTACACCAGAGGCATTGCAAAATACGGTTAGGGGAGGGAGGGGATTGGGCCTCTGATAACCTCACTCACAAAATAAAAAACTCACTAAAATATTGACGATCTGTATAACTTACATGGCGGTTTGTAGGAGTATGAGAAGCAGCTGTAGGGGTGCGAGGTGTAGTCGGGGTGCGGTCCAGTAACCAGCTGGGACCTTCCAGTGGGTTGTCATATGCGGTGCTGTTCATAGAGGCCTGGTGAGCCTCTTCCGGAGACTCTTCGATAGTCTCAAATCCTTGCTGAGGCCAACTGTCATCTCGTAACTGCATGCCTATCCTGTTTAATAGACTTAAACTATTAATTTAAAAAAGAAACTTGGCCTAGCATTAGGTTTTTCTTCCATCATGGGTGGATTAAACTAACATTTAGTTATAATGAATGCATAACTGTATTTTATTTTATGTTGTATTGTAATAGTCTTATTTATTTTATATTGTTTATTTTGCTTATTGGTATTAAAACCTGTCATAGTTTGTAAGGTTTTTTTATTCTTATTGTTTGTTTTATTTAAGGACTGTTCTGTGTTGTTTTTTTTTCTTTTATAATTATTTGAAATGTATAACGCCTTGGTTTTATGACTGTAATGTTATACTATTTAATTGAAATAAATAAATAATTTGTCGATCTCGCAAAGAGTTTTCGACCGGAAATCAATCTGTGACACGTTGTGTAGCCGCCAGCCAGCGCCTAGTATATTTTTAAATTATTATATTAAAGCAACTACAATTTCTATAGCCTATTACAATGAGTGTAATAGCACGTGATATGAAGCTTTTCTAGTTCATCAAGATCTATTAAACAAGAAGCGTGGCGTTTTATCATATGTATTGACAAAAATAATTCCATACCTCTGTGATTCTTCCATGACCGCCCTTTCTTCCTCACTCTCCGGCTCCAATTTACTGTCACAATTTATTATGAATAAATTATGGGTCCCAGTTGTGACTCGAAACTCATCGAGCATCCTCGAAAAGTTTTACTTTATGAGAATAATATGAAAAATTACTAATAAAAATGTACTTACATAGCATAGTCGTTCCCTTCTGACATAGGCTCCCCACTGGAGTCCAAGTTCTGATCATCATAGTGTTGTTCTGGCTCTCCCTCATAGTGTTGTTCCTCCTGTCCGTCATAATGTTGTTGTTGTCGGTCATAGTTTTGTTCCTGCTGTTCGTCATAGTGTTGTTCTTCATCATAGTGCTGTTCCTGATGTTCTGGATGTTGTTGGACATGTTCCTCATAGTGCTGCTCAGAGGGTTGCTCATATTGATCTCCTGAGCGGTCTGCCGTGCGTTCTCTGCGATCCCTGCGGTCTCTGCGGTCACGGCGGTCACGGCGTCTCTGTCCTCTGTGAACTTCAAGGAAAAACAAAGGTTTCAAATTACATTAAAGCTACATAGATTTGTAGTGTATATGATATATATAATGATTAAATAACTATCATGTTGTTGGTACTTGGTAGTCAATTCAGACTATTATTTATTTTGTATTTGTTGACGTTTCAAAAGTACCAAATTATGGTTTGATTGAAATAAATGCTTTGATTTTGATTACAACTTAAGTGAAAATAAGAAAAAAAAATTGTACGGCTGCACACACACAGTTGTACGCTAAGTCATGCAACGCGCAATCTTGCTCCCGAATTTATGGTCCGAAAGTGGCTTGAACCTGGTTGAGCAACATCACCAAAAAGTTTGTGATGTAATAAACATTTAGGTAGTTAAAACCATAAGTTTGTTTAATAACTATAATTACTGTATTTAACTCGCCGAGTACCGTCATTATAGAACAATAGATTGCGGTCACCGGTGACCGCTTGGTGTTTGACAGTTTAATGTAATAATTACTGTAATTGCCATATAATATTTAGTTACGACTTTAACATTTTAAGTTTTTAATACATTAATTATTATTAAACGAAATTGTATAGAATTATACAGTAATTATTACAACAATAAAAAGGGGGGGGAAGCTAGGGTAAGGTGTGGTGGGAATCGCTGTTAGTGAGAGCAGCATTGCCTATAAAATGCCAAGATGCCTTCTGCTGTACTCGTGGCGAAGTACCGTATAAAGCAGAGCCCTAGCCAGTCCGCGTCATCCACGTCCCCGTCGTCCTCCCTGGGACCTGCTGCAACCGCGCCGCCGCGCGAACGCCACCTCGAGTTGCAGCTGAGCTAACGGATGCAGGGCGCAAGGCGAGTATTCTGCGCCTTAAAACAGAATCAGCTCACTAGGGAGGAAACCCGAAACAAAACCGAGCATATCCGTAGGCTCTGAAGCGGCAGCCCCGCTAACGGATTAAGGCACAGTGGGCTAATCACCTGCTTGCCCGACAACCTAAGATTACAGAAACCGAAACAGAGATAACCCGGACCGATCATTTACCGACGACTTTTGGCATTAAAACACGGACACGAATTGCATTTTGGAACGTAAGAACGCTCAGCGATGACTGCCGATTAGCTCAAGCAGAAGCAGAAATGCTCAGTTACAATCTGCAAATACTCGGACTGAGTGAAGTAAGACGAAACGGTTTCGGGGAATTGAGAACGCCCGGGGGCTTGACTTTGCTGTATTCGGGTAAAGAAAGTGAGGAGGATCTACGTGAACATGGTGTTGGGCTCCTACTTTCAAATGCGGCGAAGAAAAGCCTCATGGACTGGAAACCGATCTCGGACCGAATCATCTATGCCCGATTTACCTCAAGAGCCCGAAACATCTCGATCGTCCAATGTTACGCCCCAACCAATGCAGCACAGGAGGATATCAAAGATGACTTTTATAATGCTCTCAACGCCACAATGAAGACCATAAAGAAGCAAGATATCGTACTCGTCATGGGAGACCTAAACGCAAAGGTTGGCCGCGATAACACTAACCGCACGCGGCATATGGGCACACAGGGACTTGGGGTATGTAATGAGAATGGTGAGCGTTTTATCGAATTTTGCCAGAACCACGACCTAACTATCGGAGGAACATTATTTATTCATGGGGATCATCATAAATACACCTGGACATCACCCGATGGCGTCACAAGGAACCAGATTGACCACATTGCCATAAGTTCCAAATGGCGTTCGTCTTTGCTCGATGTCCGCAACCGTAGGGGAGCCGATATTGATAGCGACCACCATCTGGTTGTTGCTGAAATCCGGCTTAAGATTGCGGTAGCCCATGCATATAGAGGACCTGGCAGAGTTGGAAGAAGATTCGAGGTGAGCAAGTTGCATGACCCAGGGACGCGAAAATCGTTCCAACTGGAATTGCGCAATCGTTTTGCCACACTTGAAGCAGCGGTAGACTCACTGGACGAGGAGTGGAACCGCATTAAAGTGGCCTACACAGAGACCAGCTCCAACGTCTTAGGGCACAAAACGACTCACTCACGAGAGGACTGGATGTCGCAACGCACATGGGATCTGATCGAGGACAGGAGAAAACTTCATCTGAAGCTTCTTGAGACTCACAACGACACTGTTCGAGCCGATCTTAACACGCAATACCGTCAAAAGCGCAAGGAAATCTACCGCAGTACCCGCAGGGATAGGCGACAGTGGGCTGACGGTATTGCGGATCGTGCTCAACAAGCTGCAAACACCGGCAACTTAAGGGATTTATACCAAGCAACAAAATCCTTGGCAGGTGACAGTAAGTTTAGGAGGAAGAAGCCCCTGAAATCTAAGGATGGTCAGCTTATTGCGACTCCAGAAGAGCAGCTGGCACGTTGGCGTGAACACTTTGAAGAGGTCTTCCGCTTATCAGCGACAGCTACACCTGATGCACTAAATATTTATTCCACACCACCGCGGCTACTTGACATTGACGTTGAACCACCGTCAGCCTCGGAAGTAGCTAAAGCAGTCCGCTCTTTAAAGACAGGCAAAGCACCAGGACTCGACCTAATCACGGCGGAAATGCTACAAGCCGACTTATCCTCCGCCGTCAAAGTTCTAACGCCTCTTATTGTAAAAATTTGGACTAAGGAAGAGCTCCCAGATGATTGGAACAAAGGTCTTATTATAACTGTGCCAAAGAAAGGAGACCTTAGTATATGTGACAACTGGAGAGGTATCACATTGCTCTCGATACCTGCTAAGGTCTTTTGCAAAATCATTCTGGATAGGCTGACGAAGGCCATAGATCCACTGCTCCGCAGGGAACAGGCTGGTTTCCGCACGAACCGCTCATGTACGGACCAGATCAACACTCTTCGTATCATATTAGAACAGGCATCAGAATGGCAACGTGAGATTTATCTCACATTTGTTGACTTCGAAAAAGCTTTTGATACGTTGAAGTGGTCTAGCATCTGGTCTCGTCTACTGGACATCGGAGTGCCGCCGAAGATTGTCCGTTTATTGGAGAGCATTTATAGGAAATATTCCTGTAGGGTAACCCATGACGGGCTGATATCGGATGACATAACAGTGCATGCGGGTGTACGTCAAGGCTGCCTCCTGTCGCCGCTTCTATTCCTGGTCGTACTTGACGGAATTATGCTTCGCATTTCAGAAGATCGGCGCCGCGGGATAGAATGGGGATTATCCAACGTCCTAGAAGACTTGGACTATGCCGACGATCTTTGCCTGCTTAGTCATACCCACGCCGACATGCAAGCAAAGCTAGACGATCTGCGTCAGGAAGCGGCAAAAACAGGCCTCAAGATCAACACACGGAAGACCAAAGATATGAGATCGGGCGTGAAGAATAATTCACCGTTGCTGATTGGCACTGAGGCAGTGGAACGCGTCCACAAGTTTACTTACCTTGGGAGCGTCGTGTCAGAAACTGGAGGGAGTGAGGAGGACATCGCCTCACGGATTGCCAAAGCCCGAGCTACTTACGCGCAGCTGAGACCTGTGTGGCAGTCACGGAAACTGACCCGAAGAATTAAGCTCAGAATCTTCGGGTCCAATGTCAAATCCGTACTGCTCTACGGGTGCGAGACGTGGAAGGTCACGAAAGACATCTCCCGCCAAATCCAAGTTTTCGTCAACCGATGCTTACGTCGCATTCTCGGTATTTTCTGGCCCGAGACCATCTCCAATGTAGACCTATTGGAGAGATGCCGCGAAACTCCGATCGACCATCAGATCAAACGTCGCAAATGGGGATGGATAGGCCATACGCTCCGAAGGGGTCCCGACCATATTTCCAAGCAAGCGCTGGATTGGAATCCCCAGGGAAAAAGGAAGCGTGGCCGACCTCGGCAAACCTGGCGTCGTACTGTGATAGCAGAGGCGGCGAGCATCGGAATGACGTGGAGCGAGGTGAAGCGAGAAGCTCAAGATCGATCGAAATGGAGAACCTCTGTGGACGCCCTCTGCCCCATCTAGGGGACATAGGACTATAAGTCAAGTAAGTCATTACAACAATATAAAGTTGACTTACTTGGTACTGGAACTCCTGGCGGTCCGTACCCTTCCATATACTCCTCATTACCCGTGTCCATATTAGATTCCACCTCCACAGTTGGATGTGCAAAGTCTGATATATCAATCCTAGTTAATGGAATATAGACATCTGGAATGAAATAATAACTTTTTAAAAAACCTTTAACCTAATAGAAATAAGTAAACGAAAATCTAATCAAGAAAAAACTATATTAGTTTTTAACTCGTCAAGCACCGTCATTATAGACACAATTAAAGAACAATAGGTTGCGGTCCGGTGACCGCTTGGTGTTTGACAGTTTAATAAAATTGACTTTAGCATCACGATGGATGAATGTAACATTATTAAAATTGAGAGAACTGTGATTGCACCGCAATATTATTTCGCAAAAATATTTTAGTGATGTTTTATTATTTCATTTTATTTTATTTTACAGCAATACTACAAAAACTTGCTTTTGACTTCAATATGTCCATTTTAATCAGTTTCTGATTACATACCTTGCAACATGCGTAAAGGCACTGCCCTCTCTGTAGTATCTCCAGATCCTAAACAACAAGAAAGTATTAATAAATTAATATTTTATCTCTACTCTCTCATTCACACAGATGTTGCATCTATCAGTGTGTTTAGAAGAAAAAATCCATTGATATAAATAGTTCTAATATATATATGTAATCCATATTCAATAACTAGTTCTTATATACGTAAAAATTACACGCATTTCAAATATTTTGCTGGAATTGATCGCACATTCACTACACCAAATGCGCATCCAAATATTGCAGACAAGAACAAAATTCCTACCTGATCCACTTCTTAGCAAGATAGTTCTGTTGAGTTCAACTACAGGCTGAACACAGCGCCCTTCCATCATCATAGGTGCCACTCTGTGCACTCTCTCTGTATTATCTGCTCTTGGAGTCCCACCAAGCGTGCTCCAGCGAGGCAGCTGCTCCTCTAACTCTTCTCTCTCCCTCATATAAACTTTAGCTATCTCCATACTTTTGGCTATTTCCGCAGAAGCATTAACCAGATGTGCGATAGCTTTCTCACTTGCTTCTTGCAATGCAGCGTCAAGTTTCTTTGCTTTGGTTGAACCATGGTTTCTGAGCATCTACAGAGAACAACCACTTAAATTAATTAAATTTCTAGGTATCAATTTACCTATCATGATGGTATTGGCCGCATTATCTAATAAATCTTGTATGTAGTTATAGTAAAACAAATCCTAAATAAAAATAAGTGGCCAGGGCTAGCCCATACAAAGGGACAAATACAGTGCAGAAGTATGTGTGCAAATATAGATGCACTCTTAAATCTCTCACTCTCATAGCCCAAACAGATGGCAATTTGACACGATTGAAGTGCTTTTTGTGGCACAGAGATGAAGGATACTCAGTGACCACACCGGTTTGCCAATTCTGGGCTAATGGTACTGGTTATTACCACTAACAGCAGCCACTCACCCAGCCACTACTTCAAACGTATAGTTTCACATTATTATTTTAGCGGTAATTAGTAACAAAATTATATTTTCAGTTTACCAGATAACATTCTAGATGACTGCGAAAAGGAATAATAAATACGTACGCTCAGTTTAAGTCTCAATTCATTGACCTCTTTCATAAGTGTCAGCTTCTCATCCTCCTTCTTGGCTGCAGCCAACTTCCAGAACTGCACTTTTTGCACCAATTCATTATTTTTCTCTTTCAAGTCCCTAATTTCGTCTTCTAACGTCGCCATTGCACAAAACACTTTTTACTTAATCAATCACTACTTGAACTGTACACAAGGTACAAATATATGACCAAATAATTATCTTTAATTCAAGAAAAAGCCAGCATTATCAATCCATTATCAATAACAATTATTATAAACAGAAAAACGGTAAAATCAAATTCCTTAGCAATTTCGAAACTGACAATTAGATTTTTGAAGTCAATTCAATGTCAATGGAATGGAGCTGAATGATGGAATGAATGAATGAATTGTAATTATGAACTATGCCATAAGATAAAATTCGATTTCGATTGACTTGCCACTACAGCTCACTCGGCAAAACTTAGCATAGCACTTTACTTAGCTATTTAATAAGTAAATAATGAAGTATATTAATCACTCAATGTAAATTAAATAAAAAATCTATATGAAACATGCATATTTTCAACTGATTGAACTATAATCTGTGGAAGTACATTTCTTCCAGATGGCAACATTGTTCCAAACCCGTCAAGCCGTCAGTCAACATTGTCATTGTCAACACACATTTCGGGAGTGTCAAAGTCAAAGTGTGCATGGTGTTAGCACGCACGCTTTGAGGTTATACTTGTTTCAAACACGCTTTAGTTTGTGACACTATTTACATATACAATGTCGTTCCGCGGTAGAGGAGGTGGTGGCGGCGGTCGTGGAGGTTACGGTGGTGGTGGCGGAGGAGGAGGTAGAGGCTTCGGTGGCCGTGGAGGCGGCGGCGGCCGCGGCGGCTTCGGAGGCCGTGGCGGTGGACGCGGTGGCCGAGGCGGTGGCGGTGGTGGTGGATACAGACAACAAGATCAAGGCCCGCCTGAGTCTGTAATCCCACTGGGTCACTACGGCTGGACAGTTCAGGACGATTTGGTGTGTAAAGTTGACATCGAAGATGTACCATACTTCAATGCACCCATCTTCCTCGAGAACAAGGAACAAATCGGGAAAATAGACGAAATATTCGGTAACCTGCGTGACTACTTCGTATCTGTAAAGATGAGTGACAACTATAAAGCCAACAGTTTCAAGTCCGGACAGCAGTTTTACATTGACCCGGCAAAGTTACTGCCACTGAAGAGGTTCTTGCCACAGCCTCCTGGTGCTAAGAGAGGTCGTGGTGGCGTAGGCCGTGGAGGACCTCGTGGAGGTCGTGGTGGCGGCGGTGGTTTCGGCCGAGGTGGCGGTGGCGGTAGAGGAGGTGGTTTCAACCGAGGTGGAGGCGGTGGACGTGGTGGTTTCGGCCGCGGCGGCGGCGGAGGATTCAACAGAGGAGGTGGTGGCTTCAGAGGAGGAAGAGGAGGGCGATAGCCACTGACTGCAAGTGATTAGACTATAGTTATGTGCATTTAGAGTTAAGGACCCTGTGTTGATGTCTTGTTATAGTTGACCTGCAAGAAGCTGTATGAGAGAGTATAATATTCATTATTATGACGTCTATTGTCTTTGTCTACAAGCATCTACTTAATGATCAATGAAATGATGTTTTAGCTGAAGACAACAGATACTTATTTTGTCTATAATATGTTGAATTGTGGATGCTGGATATCTGATAAAAATATTTTGTATTGAATGACTTGTATAAAAACTTGTTAAATATGAGAACATTTAAAGTTTGTTAGGTTTTCCACGAGATACAGCTAAATAAATATCTATAAATGTATTCCATAGATGTAACATTAAAACCATATTACAGTAATTATACATGTGGTATTTTTCTGTAAATACATGTGATAATTATTTGCTAGAGTATTTAGGGTCCCATGAATACCTAAATTTTTTAAGACATGACAGTTCAAATGTTCAAATAGACACAGTTCTTCACTTATTTGCAGATATAAAATGTAAAAAATAATTTTAAGAAATAAAACCTATATTTTAAGATAAGAATTGTTTTATTTACTTTTACAACTGAATTGAAATCACAATCTAATTTAGTTAAAATTCAAATTCATATTATTACATGCAGACATATTTATATTTGAACTAGTGAAATTTTAGTGATCCTGTTGAACTTTGGTAATACAGTGGGACCTCTTAAATTCGAGTGCCCCTGCGTGTTTCACACACTGAACCAGTGGCAAGCATTTTCAATTCAAGCGCCATGTCTGCCTTAAATACATGTCTTGAATGAGCTGATCAAGTGGATATTCCTTCACTAGAAAAAATGCTTTTACTTAAATTACGAGATAAAACATTTTATTTGTCATTAAACACCACATGACAAACCACAATATTGGATTTTTTCAAAAAAGTTGAATAAAATATGTAACGTTTATAGATGAATAGAGACTTAGCATTATTTATGTTCCTATTAACCCATAAATCCCCAAGTGGTCACCGGTGACGCTTTCCACTAATATTACATTACATTATAGACCTTATTTCTAATGTTTATAGACTACTTTTGTATTACCAAATTTAGGGGATTGGATATCAACGGGTTAAGTAGTTTTATTCACAAAAAATACCCTTATCATCTATACCCCTATAATCCAAATGCTCCACTAATCTGAATGGGGGACGGGGGTAAAATTTTCAGAGTTTGGATTGAAGAGGTCCTGCTGTAATGATAAAGTAAAAAACCTTTTGAAGTGCATAAATGAGTGGTCTAGTTCAGACTTTTAAGGGAAGAAACATTATGGGTGTTCGTCTAAGATGAGCACCATGGAATACATTTTCTATCACATGATATGCACATCTACCAAATATGTCAGGAAATGCAAGGTTGTATGTAAATAAGCAAAACCTGTTTTCATCTATGTGTGTAAGTGAAATAAGTGCAAATATGCAGAAAAAAACCTATTTTAAGACAATTGTTTTATTTACTTCTGAACAGGCCTACTGATAATCAAAATTATTGCCAATAGTTTTTATTCAACATGTTTTCTATCTTAATTAAATGGTAACATTTTGAATGAAATCATATTATTGTTCAGCAGTGGCATAACTATACTGATGGAGACTATGGCAAAGTCATTGAAGCGTACGCCTAACAAATATAAACAGAGAGTCCAGATGAAAAACTCTGTATGGGGACCCCTTCCAGATTGGGGGCCTGTGGCATTTTACCGACTTGCCACTACTGTACAATACTGTTACAGTAGTGGCAAGTTAAAGTTAACATACTGTTAAAGTTAATCTGCTTTGATACGGGTCTCTAATACTATCATCAACAGTGTCCAGTGTCTGCATACAACTGAGAATATGACACTATGATGAGTCAGAATGTCCAATACAAAATAAATAAACTTCATCAAATAACATAATGATAACTTGCCTTAACAAATAAATAATTATATTAGCTCTAGTAATACACTATTCAACATTTTCTAGTTCACATTTGCTACCACTAGGAATGTAATTGTCAGCCAAAGCCTTTCCTCTGTGGTTGAAGACGTAGAATGATGGGAGGTTTCTCTGTGTCTCCCATTTTACTGTATTCAGTTCAGCAGCAGCTGGTATCTCTCGTAGATTACCAGCAACATTGAGGACTCCCCACATTACAGCAAATAAACTAACCACAGCTTGTACCACGATCTGGAAAGGGAGGAAAATTAGGTATCACATATATCATGTTTTAAAAGTTCAAGATATTTTGACGAATTGACTGATGTTTAGTACTCACATCCAAAGGTAAAGTGGTGAATTCCTGTGACGTTATTCTAAGGTACGAACGATCTGTAAGAATTGAAGTATAATAGTAAATTAATAAGAGGAAAATATTCAATAAAGTTGTTCTCGTAGTCGTAAACACTTACGCTGTGCTGCTGAAAATGCTGAGTGGAATAGTGATAGAAATCCTACGGTAACAATTAATTTATGCACTGAAGATCCCATTTTTGCTTATTATTATTAAAAACAACTGTATTATATACTTTTCGATTGTAATTTTAACAATCAGTGATAACACAAGAGAGTGATACTACAAAATTGATTGACGTTTATATTTGTCATTTGACGACATGATTTCGATGTCAAATTGGAACGTTCGTTCACATCACATTCACAGATTAGCCGAATATTAAAAACGAGTTTAAACTCGTCTAATATTATGTATCAATTCGTTGAATGATTTAATTAATTTAAATATAAATTATGTAGTTTCTTCTATTATATACAATAATTTTTATTTAATAAGAAAATTAAAGAAGACTGCCTCATTGGCCGCGTGTTCGCAAGTGCGACTGCCGGGTAAGGGCTAAGGGGTCTCGGGTTTCACAGGGTTTCATTCACCGAGTTTCATTCCAAAGACCGGCAAAATATTACTGGGCTTTTAAAAAAATTGTCAGTGGTAGAGTAGCACGGAGTCTGGAATTGTGTACTGTATATGGCAATAGGCTCACGCCCTATTACATGGGACTCATAAGTCATAACATAAATACCTATGTACCTCATGCTTGTGGTGTAGTTACATGAAATTATAAATAAACTAGCGGCCCGTCCCGGCTTCGCACGGGGGGACTTAAGATTTTTTACATAGTTTTACGTTTTATTTATATTTATTCTCAGTTTATTATTTTTGAAATAGTAGGTAAGTACTTACCTAATAGGTATCTTTTGGATGAATTTTATTAATAGTCTTAAGGTAACCGATTGAACAATTCGAAAGTTATCTAGAGCAAACTTTTATAAGGATTGAGCCATTCATTAAAACGATTGTTATGGGTAAACTATAAAAGGTAGACATATGCTCTCGCGGACTTTTTTAAAAATAATGTTAAGATGAAGAATTCATCTATAGAGCATTTTTGAATAACTTTAACTATATGCTCAGCGCACGCCACGGAAGGCCTCAGAAACGATACTTTTCCCCCGTTTTTAAAACATTTTTGGTTAATGCTCCACAACTATAGGACCTAGCGTGATATTATATAGCCTATGTTACTTCTGAATAATGCAGCTTTCTAATGGAGAAAAAATTATTGCAATCGGTCCAGTAGTTTTTGAGTTTATTCATTACAAACATACAAAAATACAAATCTTTCCTCTTTATAATATTATAGTATAGATATAGATATAGATAAATAAATGTGAAAAGTGGGTATTACATTATGTAGTGGCACTAAGTGCCGTAATGGGCACCTCTGCCTACCCTTGCGGGGATAAAAGGCGTGATGTTATGTTATGTAAAATTATAAAATACAACAATTACAGAATTATTAGTTACTTACTTTCCTTCATTGTTCAACTTGTAGTCGATCACATAGTCGATTAAATCATCACGATTGGGTCCAGGTCAGTTTAGATTCTGTAACTCACTGTCACTCACAGTTCACTTGGTCACATCCACATCACTAGTTAATTCAAACTTGCGGCAGCGGCTGGGCGTGTGTGTTGTTTACTATTCAGTTATTTTCGTGTTTTTGTAACAGAAAGTGCTATTATAAAAAAAGATGAGTCGAAATTTTAGAGATAGAGAAGAATTCCAAATGGATACAAAGCCCTCACAGAGGACTGGAAGTCAGAAATTTAGATATTTTTTCTACAACGGTGATTCTGGTGAAATTTTGGGACGAACGCCTGAAAGTTGGGGTCAGTGAACTTATATTTTGTATTAATTTTCATGAGATTTAATGGTTATCAAAAGTTTCTTACAAAACTAAGACAATTTTTGGTACTCTTCAAGATATTCATTGGATAACAACTTTTGTTGTAGGGCGTGGCTTATTGTTAGGATTCAATCTCTAACCAATCGTTACTATTATTTTTTGCAAAATTCGCAGATTTAGAATTTTCAACTAAAAATATGAAACTAAGTGTTTTTAAGAAAACAAAAAGTTTCAGGTCATCTTCCTTAATATCTCATTACTTTTCTGTAAGTCTTACTAATATTATAAATTATAAATATGAAAGCTTAGGAGTTTGTATGTATAAGTGTATGTTTGTTACTTAATCAAGTCAAAAGGGCTGAAGGTTAGATAATGGTCTGGAATATCACATAGACCATTTGTCCCACATGAATGCTTGCAAATCGGCATGCAGATGCTAGTATACTAATAACTAATAAATCTTAAAAAAATCTTCAATAACATAGAGGTCAAAGACAATTTACAAAAGTCTATCCAATTATTTAAAAAAAGTCATTACAGCCAGCCAGTGTTAATAGCTCTAATCTGTCAACCATAGCTAATCTACTTAGAAGCCCTATGTTATGTCTGTGTTTTAATTCTACTTTAACTAATCCGGTTATTATACACTTTGCACCTAATAATATATCAATAATATTGTCTCACCAGCTATTTAGTGTCACCACTAAATTCTTCATAGGTATAGAAGTATTTGTTTGATTAAAATTGATAATGATACTTTAGTTAGGTAATACTGAAAAAAAGGAGATCATTTGGGCTCCATACACTTTTGGGCCTTTTATAAAAGTGCCTTTTCTGAAAAAACAATAAGTAGAAGCACCTTTAGAAAGCTATAAAAATGATGAATCTTTAAACTAGTATAACTTCTTCATCTTGGATTCTACAACTTTTATGCCATATTAACTATTGCTCTAGCTAGTTCTAACAATACATACCATTTTTTGTTGGCTAGCTTCACTATGAGTAAATGCCCAAAAAATGATCTCATTTAATATGTTTAAGTCAAACTGTATAATAACTAAGTACTCAAATTAACTAAACTATAAAACTTAGGGAACTGTTTGATTCACATGTGATTGCTCATTTTCATGAGACCTGATGTAGCTCAAACAGTTTCCATGACCAAGACAAATATTTCGGTGGTATATATATCATATAAACAATATATATTCGGCGTTATATCCAAACTGATATGACCTTCAAACCTTTAAGAAAAGAGTGTATTCGCTTTTAAACTGCTATCCCTCTGGTGTTGTGGGTATCCATGGGCGGCGCTGATTGCTTACCATCAGGTGATCCTTCTGCTCGTTTGCCTCCTATTCCATAAAAATAAAATTATTTAGTAGGACCTATTTCTTGGAAACGAGCTAAAAATCATATTTAGTGCTATTAAAGTTTCAAATATTACTTTTTGTTTTTTTTTTGTGATAACAAGAGTAATTTAGGTAACGAGTTCTTAAGAATTAGTTAAGAGTAGTACATATTCTTGCTAAGATAAGACTCAGTAGATAATTATACATAACAATACATAGTATAAAACAAAGTCGCTTTCGCTGTATGTCCGTATGTATGCTTAGATCTTTAAAACTACGCAACGGATTTTGATGCGGTTTTTTTAAATAGATAGAGTGATTCTTAAGGAAGGTTTGTATGTATATACATATTGCACCCGTGCGAAGCCGGGGCGGGTCGCTAGTACATAATATTTCTAATTGAAACCTTTTGCAACCAGTTTTTAAAGTGTCATGTTTATTGTATGCATGCAATGATGATTCATTCCATGTTTGAATTTGAATATGAACCTTTTTGTAATTTTTTTGTAGGTAAATATTTTTTATTTTTCTATAAATTACGGAAATCCGTAAGTGCGAACTACACGCCGCTGTCTTGTAACTAGTTTTATAACGCGGCTTAACACACAAAATCAAACACGTAATTGATATTATTCCTAATTCCATAAAACTCCAATAAGAAACATTTCAGTCGCTTATTCTGAAATACTGTCGAACTTAAACGATTTATTATAGCCGTATTTTTAACTATTGGCCCGAAACTTTCTCTTACATTGAACCTTCATGACTTCTATGACATGCCCCCGAGAAATGCCACGGCTGTAAAACTACACCTTGTGTATTAAACATACGATGTCGCCTTTTTAGGCCCCCTGACCATTTTAAACTCCACCTGACAACCCCATTCTTGAGGAAATATATTATCTAAACATCTATAGACACAACATTGTCGCGGATAACCTAACGGGTTAACGGGGCTCCGGCACGACGTGTAGGAGAAAGAACGGGGTGGTTTTTAGTCAGTAAGAGTCTGACACTCCCTCCCGCCTCACCCAGACGGGAGCAGTCACTCGATGATTTTCCCCCCATAAAAAAATTAGACACAACATTTAGTAGTTGAGCTATCCTTTGTTATCCTATCCTGCATTGTCAGTCAAGTTCCTTGTCTATCTTAAACATTTTATACTTAAAATATTTTATTTATTCTAAACAAAAAAAAGTGCTATTAACCAACTTTTCTATTTAGGTAGAAAGAGTTAAAATTTAAACTAGCAAAGACAACCAAACAATGTTTTTAATTTATGTAAATATGTGCAAATACAAGTCCCCTCGAACAACTCATTGTTATGGCTAGCTGCTGAATTACTATTTATTGAATGCTACATCTTATTATATAAAGCTGAAGAGTTCGGTTGTTTGTTTATGTGAATGCACTAATCTCCATAGGATAGTCTATTTATCGGGGAAGTCTAAAGGCTATAGAACATCACGCAACAATCAATAGGAGCCGAGTAGAGCGGATGAAACTGCGAAGAAGTGGCTAGTTAAATATAATTAGGCAAATGGCACAGCAACTGTAATTTAAAAATTGAAATAGCTGTCTAGTTAATTGAAGCAAACTTCTAAATGCAGAATTACCGATAATTGAAAACCTACACAATACAACGCCCAGTTAAAGTACTCAATCCGAGGATTGCTTGCAATTGTCGACTAAAGAACTTTATTTTTAAAACCATAATTATTCTTCCAGGTAAAATACTCATCTTCTACACAATCTTCTATGCTGTACTGGCAGCCTTATTTGCAGTCTGCATGGTAACGTTTATGCAGCACTTCATCAACCCTCGAGTGCCTCGTCTGCAGCAGGAGTACAGCGTGATTGGTACAAGCCCAGGATTAGGGTTCCGGCCGCTGCCGGAAGATGTTAGGAGCACCCTGATCTGGTACAAGGGTACCGGCTACGAAAGCTATAAGTACTGGGAAGATCAGCTCATTGATTTCTTGTCTGGTGAGTTTAAAATGCTAAGTAGATAATGTGATAGCAGGTAGTTCACGCTATAAATGCTGTCGGTATGGGAGCGTCCAATTATGGCCTGGCGAGTTTCTCTTTCGTAAGTGTAACGTACTGCTGATCTGAATGAATTTCTAGTTGTATTTTTCCCAAAAAAAATAACTTGCTGGTCTAAAAAATAAAATACAGGTCTCATTCAGTCCAAAGAAATATCACTACAAAATCAGATACGGCTAGACAACATTAAGTTTAGATTGCAGTAAAATCAGGTCGAATTGGTCTAGCCTTTTCGAAATACTCATATTCAAAAATCTTCCTCAAGAATCACTTTATCTACTAAGGAAAACCGTTTAAAATTCCGTTCTGTAGTTTTTTTGATCTTCAGTATGTCAGTCATGGCATCTGTGGCCTTTTTATCATAAAATTGTATTTCATCCACAGTATACAAAAAGAAGGGTCAGACGGCGGGCGCTGGACAAAACATATACAACTGCGACTTCACGAACCTGCCGCCTCCCGGCAAGGTCTGCGACGTGGACATCAGGAGGCTGGACCCCTGCATCGATGAGAACCACTTCTCTTTCCACAAGTCATCGCCTTGCATCTTTCTGAAGTTGAATAGGTCAGTGGGATCTTGAATTCATTAACGTCGCTGCGTTCTCCGTAGCTAATGCGATTGTTACGTTTGTTTTGACGTTGCTAAATTGTTTTAAACCAATCTTGCAATGGTAGATGTCCCACCCACGCACGAAGCGCTTCGCATCAAGCTTCTTTGTGCGTACTGCTAAGGAGTAGAATTCTTTGCCCTGAGTCTGTATTTCCTGAAGGGTATAACCTGGGTATCTTCAAAGCCCGAGTGAATAGGTTGCTTATGGGACGACGTGCTCCATCGTAGACTGCATCATCGCTTACCACCAGGCGATATAGTGGTCAAACGTCGGCCAATCGGATATAAAAAGAAAAAAAAATAGATGATATTTGGTACATAAGCGAATACGTGGATAGGAACTTTGACGACAGTTAAAGGCTAAGCAAAAAGAAACTAAAAGGGGATACAACTGCAAAGCTGGAGCTTGAAGGGGAGGCCCATTTGAAAAAATAGATGCTCTTAATTTTAAGATGGACAGAGGTAAGTTACACACATATGTTCAGGTCAGTTACCTAAGATTCAATAACCATTTTTCTAATCAATAAGTCGATTAGGAGAACATAAATTAAAAAACACAAATGTTTGCACTACAAAGGCAATGTTAAATATTGTCAAGGCAAATTGCACATTTTGGAACATTTCAAAGGCCCTTTTTGAATCATTATTCGATCCATAATGTTGCTGAAATTAAATTCAACAAAAGTTTGTTTGTGACATTGTATTCGTGAGGACGTTACGGAGTACTTGACAAAATGTACTAACATTAAGCCCGTTATGTAAGATGGAATCGGCAGAGGTGTACAGTTACATGTATGTAATAAATCTCACATAATTGCTAAAGCTTGTTGCTTTAACAATACAGCCATGTTATCAATGGTTAGTTACCATAACATTATACGCATGTTTTACAAATGCCACAGTGTAGACGAAGTAGTTAATTATATCAGGTACATACATGAGAGTCATTTTATTATAAACTAGCTTCTCCCCGCGACTTCGTACGCGCAATCTCGTTTTCTCCCGTTTCTGTAGGATTTTCAGGACTGTTTTCTGTCATAAGAACGTTCTCCTGACAATACTCATCATTTACAGCCTATAAATGCCCACTGCTGAGCAAAGCCTGTTCTCTCTCACACGGAGGAGGTTTGAACAGTAATCACCACGCTTGTTCAATGCCGGTTGGCGATTACAAACTTATAATTAGAAATTATAAGCCCAGGTTTCCTCACGATGTTTTCTTCACCGTTTCTCAGTGGTGTCTAAATAATCTTAGAAACTACATATAACTCGGAATAAGTCACATTTTTCGAACCCGCATTCTCATGCATGAAAAGCCAGCGTCTTAAACCTCCGGGCCACCATGACAATAATAAACACAAAAAAGCCAAATCGGTCTAGCCGTTCTCAAGTTATGGCGTGACAACGGGAAACGGGTTTCATTTTTATATAATTGTATAATGTATAAAATATAGATAGATTAAGCATCTCATAATTCATTGTATTATCATTGGGAGTTAGTAATCAAATAGCTCGATAATACCTTGGTCGACGGTACAAACTTACGTGCTATGAATATGTATAGGAGTAGTGTTTAATACGCATCTTAAAATGTTCCAGGATCTACGGCTGGCGACCTGAGTTCTACGAAGGTGTGAACGACTTACCGTCAGATATGCCCCTTGACTTGCAGATGCACATCAAGAACCTAACCACCTACAATCCTAACTACGTAAGTTTAGTCATTAGTACCTTTTTTTAACGTGTGGAAATCCTCATGGATGTCTAGACAATGAGCGTCAGACAGCAGGTTATGTCGGACTAAAACTGGGTACTCGACTGAATTAATTATTTATTTATTTCATAATTTATGCACTGTAAAGCCTCGTAGCCACTACTAGGCAATAATGGGGGCTAACGTTTTTTTAAACCTTTGATGGCGCAAATGCAGGAAGGTATTTTTTTTGTCCAATCACATCAACTGTCAAAACAAACAAAATTGTTTCACGTTCACCTTGACATCCACTAATAATTAATATTTTCATCGAGGACATTATCTATATTTCTTTGCATACATTCGTGACTACTGTAATCATTAATATTATTGACGTTATTAATTACTCAAACTCTCAATTTTGTAATATTGTCACAAAACAGATGGACAATATTATACCATAAAATGTAACATCCCATCATACCTATGTTTACAAATAAATATGTTCATTTCCATTTTGTCAAATATTGAACGTGAGTTATGTTTCTGCCAGCGACAGAGGGTGCAAATGGAAACTATGATCATTTTACTAAATTTATTATAATTTAAATTACATGATAATTCCTAAAGTCTAATTAACCTACGAGCGAATGCGTTCGATATTAGAACGACACTGCTTTCTTATCTTAAAATTCTTTATTATAAAATTAGTATGAAGGTTTTATTGAGGTTAAATCTAGTGGGGTGAACGATGATCCAGCGATTCGTAGCTGGGCACAAGGCGACGACAAGAGGAGACGACTCAGCAGTTCGAATGTTGCAATACTCCGTAGAACCTTCGTTGCATCAAAGTAGGTGTAATGTTCTGATTCAGCAGATCTGGGCCTGGTGACACGGCGTTGATCACGGTGTAGGTACATGTGTCGGCACCGATACGTAACACGTGCAATGGTGTGACACTAGCTAATTCCCTATTGGTCGAATTACGAGCAAAAATACGCACGGCCCCGTTAAGGTGTAACATGTAACGGGCAATATTAAACAGCATGCCGACTGTTTCTTTCGGTGTCACTGTAGAAAGTGAACGTCAAAGTCAAAGTCAAAATAATTTATTTCAATCAGACCAGAAAGGCACTTTTGATCGTCAACAAAAAAATAAAAGTGAAGCTATTTGCTCATTCCAAGGTGTAGACTCCAATTTAGAAGAATGAGCAAGAAAGTCCACCGAAGACCAAAGACCGACAATACTAGTTGCTCTGACGACATTTTGTTGACGATGCGAAGACAGAGAAAAAATCTACGCAATCTTTAAAAAGTAACATTTTGTGCAACATGGTTATTCCGAAACAAATTAAATTATTTATCATATAATTATCCTATTAGACTGCCTCGTTGGCCGAGTGGTCGCAACTCGCAAGTGTGACTGCCGGGCAAGGGGTCTCGGGTTCGATACCCGGGTCGGGCAAAGTATTACTGGGTTTTTTAAAATATCAGTAGTAGCACGGAGTCTGGAAATGTGCCCGGTATATGGCAATAGGCTCACTCCCTATTACATGGGACTCTTAACATAAATAGTGAAAAGTGGGTGTTACATTGTACAGTGGCATTAAGTGCCGTAATGTGCGCCTCTGCCTACCCCTTCGGGGATAAAAGGCGTGATGTTATGTTATGTTATAATTATCCTATTCTGCTGGTTTCCAACTAAACTAGCGACTTTGTATCTAGGACACATACGTAAATAGCAAATAAAAGTCTTTCATAATAATTTTTCCTTTGCAGGGTAATATGGTGTGGGTATCATGCCAGGGCGAGACTCCAGCAGACAAGGAGAACATAGGTCCCATCAGCTATCTGCCCTTCCCTGGGTTCCCAGGGTACTTCTACCCGTATGAGAATGCTGAGGGGTACCTCAGTCCTCTCGTTGCTATACATTTGCAGAGACCTCGAAGTAAGTCCAAATTATTATAATAAAATAAATGTAGAAAGGAGGGACTAAAGCAGATCTACGAAAGAAGTATACAGTGTGGATATGAATGGGACTTAAAATAGGGTAGTTGCCAGGGTAAGAAAATAAAAATCTAATTAGTCTGTCAGTTAGATAATGAAAAAATATTAGACGCGTATTTTTCTATTTTCTCGTATAAAGTTACTATACTTAAATAAAATGGAGTTAAGTTTAGGAGTTGGAGGTCGTTACGCCACCAAGTGCTACATTTTGTAGCACGCTGTGACGTCACACGACATTTCAGATCAACATATCGTCAAAAGCATTTAATTTTGTGAGAAAAGAAAAAAATACGTATCTAATGTTTTAAAATAATTTACCAGACGGACATTAAAATAAAATTTAGGAAACTACCCTATTGAGGGGCGTTTGAGTATTTGGACATGAATGCAGTAAGGAGTATTTTGTATAATAGAGACTGTGAATAACATAATATTTCGCCTTTTATCCCCAAAGGGGTAGGCAGAGGTGCACATTATGCCACTGTACAATGTAACAGCCACTTTTCACGATTTATGTTATGAGTCCCATGTAATAGTGGTGAGCCTATTGCCATATACCTGGCACAATTCCAGACTCCGTGCTACTACTGAGATATTTTTAAAACCCAGTTATACTTTGCCCGACCCTGGTATCGAATCCGAGACCCTTTGCCCGGCCGTCGCACTTGCCACCACTCGGCCAACGGGGCAGATATACCGTTAGAGTCTGTGAATATAATATATTATTTTTATTACATTAACACTGAACTATGCACAATAAAAACTTTATCTATTTATTTATCTAATGCACGTTTTCCTAAACCGTCTCTTAACTAAGTGTTATTGAGCGTGACGTGGCACTTACACTTACCACTTACTGGTACTTGTAGGTACCACTTATAGGTTGGTGTAATGCTGTTAAAACCTATCTTAGCTAAGGGGGTCCTTAAAACTTAAGAGAGGTTGTAGAAAACGGAATTAATGTTGGTTTTTATATTTTCAGCGGGTATTCTGATCAACATAGAGTGTCGTGCCTGGGCGAGAAACATCAAGTACGACCGGAGAGAACGTCTAGGCGTCGTGCACTTTGAGCTCATGATCCAATAGTTACTAAAAATCCGTCCAAACGTGTCTACTCGGCTCCAAGTCTGTTGTGCAGTAACCACCGTAATGTTTTTTAGCAATATTAACATAATAAATAAGAAATAAAAGGAAAAACATAAGTTTATTGCATTATAGGCAAAAATGGAATGTAATTATTGCTGTAAGAGTAAAACAGGATATGAAAATAACTGTGAAGTGAGTTGGCGTATGCGTTATTTTTATGAGTCAATTTATACTCCCAAGACAAGTTGATATCCTTGAAAGAGAGAAAGTAGTTTCAATTAAGCTGAAGTCTATAAGAAATATTAGGCAGCTATTTTAAATTTGACATTAAAGTTTTTAAAAATAAAAATTAATATTTCTGGTGGTCATTGTACACAGTCTTTCCAGTAGACCGAGTAGACCAAAGCAATTAGTTCATTTTATGTATGTAGGCTAAAGTTTTTATGCAATAAGTGTGTGAGATTTCGATTTTGTAGCATGGTCTTTTCAGTAGACCAACGATATTGACATTTTTATTCATATTTATATATTTTCAAAGACAATTTATGCCAGAATTCTTATGCAATTGACATCTAAAATTAATAATTGCTATGTATTTTATAAGAAAAGACTTTAACTAGAATCTCGAAGTAGCTTGAACAGTTGCTGTTCTTAGGTACTTACTGCTTTTAAAAGACCAGGTTTTATGGAGCAAGCTACTAGAAACATGGAGATGATTATTGATCATATTACTTATTATAGGTATGCAAGATCTCCAATATGAATACTTTACAGTTAACTATATCATCTTTTTAAAACCTAATGTCATCCGTCCAGTGACTTTTTGATATATAAATATCTTCTATATGTATATTGTGTGTTGTACAGAATTATATTTTGTGTGTTTATTAATATTGTGATTAAGACTACTAAAAGTATAGAAGACTTAACACGCATTTAGTTATTTAGATTGATATGGAACTGTTAGCGAATCTCTCTTATAACTGGCTTCAGCCTTCAACTGCGTAAGCGTATAAATATTTAAAAAAAACCTATGAACTATTTACTCCGTCGATCATGATTGTTCTATATTTTATCAAACCAATTACTGTTGGATGCGAAACTAATTAAGTTTATGTAATTTTTGTTTGAGATAATTGTTTACAGTGCAGCTTAAACAATAGGGTAAATGACATGGTATGGAAATTAAAAATCTACATAGTCACGTATATTAGACACGTATTTCATTATTTGGTCATATAAGGAAACATTACTTAGATAAAACGAATTTAGGACTGGTAGGTCGCTACGTCTCTGCTCCCTATGTAGTATATCGTGACGTCATACGATATTTCAAATCAATGTATCGCCGAAAGTATTTAATTCTGTAAGAAGACAAATACGTGTCTAATGTTTTAAATTAATCTGCCAGATGGACTTGAAACTACTATATGATGTCAATATTTTTTTTTTGGCAACTATCGAATTCTATTTTCTATTTCTTTTTTATATTATTATACACATATTTAACTAGTTTATATAGCCTGAATATTTATGAAAGACTGATGCTTTTTCAACAGCTTTTTAAACAAAATAATGACAATTGTACCTTCTTATTATATATAGCTTAAGTTTTTAACATTGTACTTAGTTTGTGTGCAGTAACTAACTTTTTTGTACGAATTAACTTGATTTTTACAGACTATATATAATTTTGTAAGAAATGTTGCCTTGCCAATCTGAATTGGAATTCATTACAAAGCGATAAGGTTTATTTTTCAATACTTTTTCTTATTGTACAAGACTTTTGTATATATTTGGTAGTAAATGTTGCTTTGCCAACCTGAATTTGTATCTGTTACAAAGCAATAAGATTTATTTTTCAGTTTGTTATTAGATAACTTATTATTATTCTTATTTGTGTTACAGGTTTTTGATTTGGTAACGACCCGTCTCTTACACATGTATTAGTAGATTTGGCTTCTAAAGAAGGCCCTATGTACCTTATTTTTTAATTTGTGTACTTGAAAGTTTATAAAAGTAAAGATTTTGAGACATTTTCCATGCAGCTTATATCAAAATTAGTAGCTCAATCTACTGACAAAAATATGTTTTTGCACTGGAATTCAGAATTTTCAATGATTATTTACAATAATTATTTACATTCCATTGATAAAAATATTATGTAAACTATACAATTATGTACCTTATGCTATACAAAAGACTCATCTATTTTACTAATTTCAAATAAAAGACAAATACTTAATACTTAAACGAATCTCGTCAATATCTCCGTCCAGTAAAGATATTATTATTATATCGATAGAATGAAATGGAATATTTCATACAATTGTAAACTGTATGTTTAAGGCAATAAAACGTATATTAGAGTGTATGTATTTCCATATCGAAGTGCCTGAATTGTAATTTTAAGGAATAAAATAAAATTTTAGAAATGAATACTTTGTGTTTATTAATTTGGTTTTGTTGAATTGCAATCAGAAAATTCTCCAATATTAAACGTGTAAAGCTATGACACGTCTGCGCCCGACAGTCCACAAACAGGGAGCGATGGCGGGAGATCGTGAGGAAAGTGTCCCCCTCCAAATACGGCCGCCTCAACGTGACCACGACCGCTCTGCCAAGAGCGGAACGACACAGAAGAAAGACACGTCGCTAACGATATAAATGTATGCTAGCTAAGGAGGAGGTGGGGCGCGTGAGGCAGCGCTTCGCTGCCTCCTCACCACCCAGCCATCGCGAAGGACACACCGGGCGTCGGGGATCGCGGGACGATCTCCGGCCACCGTAAGCGCGGGCCTGCGGACATAGAGCATGGGTGGCTCCCCGTCCGACCAGAAACAGACCCGAGCGTACGGCGCCGAGCGTTCTGCGCGCGCCTCAAAGAGCCATCAGACCACTACGGATAGGGCCCCATAGGGCTGATGCCGATTCGGAGCCGCGAAGAACCTAACGGGTTACCGGGGTCCGGCTCGAAGTGCAGGAGTAAGAACGGGGTGGTTTTTAGTCAGTAAGAGTCAGTCGCCTCACCCAGGCGGGAGAAGTCATACGATGATTTTCCCCCCTTAAAATAAAGACGATATATGTCGATTGTTGTTTCGCTGAGAGCACAGAGTATTAAGATCACATCATACAAATCAACAGCCTGTAAGTAACTAGGTACTGGTGACTAAAGGCCTCTTTTCACACGAAGAGGGTTTGAACAATAATTACCACACTTGCTTAATGCGGGTTGGCAATTTCAAACTTATAATTAGTAAATATAAGCCCAGGTTCCACTGACAAACGTTGAAGGAAAACATCCCTCACGATGTTTTCCTTCAACGTTTGTCAGTGGTGTTTTAATAATCTTAAAATAAAAAGTACCTACACATAGGTAACTCGCCGAAGTCACATTGGTAACTACCGTTTCGAACCTGCGCCCTCATGCATAACTGGGCGACTTAAACCTCCAGGCCACCACGACATTACTGTTACAATACGGGTACCTATCTTATAATAATATCTCCAAGCGAATCTACCGGTCGCTAGTGACAGATAGTTATGCTCCTGGCCTACGTGGGTTGTCGCCTGTCGGCCATTCCCTCCTAGCGACAGACGTTGCAAGTGGACGAGTAATTTCCTTCCTGCGCCGGCGCACCGGCGACGACCGTTACCCAGTCGTAGACTATAACGAGCCCCGGGTTCTAGAAGATTACCGAAGTAAACTCTTGTCGAATTCTGAGCTTGATTGGTTAATGTTTCCTTGGTTAATGACTGCTATTAGTTGGGTAGCTTCTAGCCTTTGTACCTACACGACTGTTTACGTATCAATCATTGAATTTTCCACATTAAGCGTACTACAAGATTTACAGGCGTCTACAACTACTTATAACTATAATAATTAGCCTACCTAAGTACCAACAGCAAGCTAACCTAACCTTTCCCTTCCCCTGCGGATATCCAGAACTAACCTTCACAGACTGATTAACAATAACTGCCTCGTTGGCCGAGTGGTCGCTAGTGAAACTGCTAGGCAAGGGGTCTCGGGTTCGATTTCCAATTCTCAGTAGTAGCACGGAGTCTAGATTTCTGGAATTGTGCCCGGTATTTGGCTATATGCTCACCCTCTATTAGATGGGACTCATAACATAAATAGTGAAAAGTGAGTGCTATATTCTACAGTGGCATCAAGTGCCATAATGTGCACCCCTGCCTCTGCCTACCCCTTCGTGGATAAAAAGTATCACGCCTTTGTGAGTTGTTATATTATGATTAACAATAAGTATCTAAGGACTTAAGTGAGATACAATTCTAGACGTGTCCCTCTAAAAATATTTCGATCAAAACCGAAGCATTACAATTGCTCATCTTTAGCGACACTTATTTTCCACGACATTCCTTTAGACAACCAACTGATCATATTATATCTCTCCCAGTGGTATTAGCTGCCTACACTTAATCTGGACAAGCAGCCATCTTTATCGTAGTGCATTATAGTCCCACTCACTGCAGTATTGAGATGATCTCATTGAGTGTGGCCCCAGGAACGCAGACCACATGGACATTTTTTAATCGGTTTTATGACAACACTACCTGGTAGGCGGCCCAGCACTTGTGAAGACGGAGTTGACGGATGCGGAAAGAGGCATTGCGTAGTCTAACTGTCCTAGAATAGAGTAATACGGAGATTTAAAACTGCAAAAAGATTCGTTAATATCCTATTCGTTATTTAGGGATTTATAGTATAAAGACAGTAATGACATTGCGACCCTCATAATGGTGAAACATTTCATGCCCGCCTAAGATCCGTATCACTCCGGACGAGCCAGCCCATTTGGGCTCCTTTAACGGGTTACCGGGGCTCCGGCTCGAAGAACGGGAGTAGGAACGGGGTGGTTTTTCTGACACTCCCTCTCGCCTCACCCGGGTGGGAGAAGTCATTGGATGATTTTCACCCTCAAAAAAAAGGTACTTATACCTGTGTATTAGAACAAGGCATATTAGAATTATATCCTCCAAACACCAAGATACCCTTGGTACCCAACTATCGTATTCACTAGGTCATCCTAGGTCTCCCCATACCCAGCATAGGCGCTTCGTAAGTACGGCCCACGCGTCTTCCGGTACACAAGTCCTTGAAGACATGCATGTGTACGTCGTGTGTGCGCACCCTATTACCGGCCCGGGCTAATAAGTGGAGTGCCGTAATCGCTGGAAGTACGGATGCGAGCCAGACTAGTTGTCCTGACTGTAATCACTCCCTTTAGTCTGACCTTGTCACAAGGTTGTATTAGTTGGTATAGGAATCTAGCTGTTTCCATCTACCTGTTGCCTATGCGATAATAGAAGATAGTTCGTCTCTGTTAGGTCACCACCCGCTATTCTAGTCTCCAAACTAAGCTACCAAAGATAGTTTAATTAGACTGCACGGTTGACGTGGTGGCTGGGCAAACGGCTGCCGCTCAAGGTGTAGTAGTTCGATTCCCGTACGGAGCAACTCTTTGTGTGATCCACATATCGTTGTTCCGGGTCTGGGTTTCATGTGCATGTGAAGTTGTATGTTTGTAAACGCACCCACAACCAGTGGCGTAACTATACCGTTCGGGGCCCGTGGCAGATTTGGCGGATAGGCCTCCGTTCCCCATAAAGCAGAGAAGTTCAAATGAAAACCCCTATACGGGGCCAGTTCTAGCTGGGGGCCGGTGGAATTTTGCCAACTTGCCACCCTGTAGTTTCGCCACTGCCCACGACACGGAAGAAAATCCTATTGTAAGGCAACATTTTCTTTAAAAATAGCAATGGTAATTCAAAAGAGGTGCAACTCACAAGGCTGCTTACCTCGTTCTATTTTATAAGAACGTTTTCTCAGAGCAAATGATTACCCAGCTTCAGCAACGTAATTATTGTTATTCAATTGCTAAAAGAACATAAAAGTGCCAAAACTAACTCGGTGGTCGTAGCTTCTTCTTATATCAGATTCCAGACAGATGAGCTTACAATTTTCCTCAGACTTCGTGAATCAAATCATAAGACACAATTCAAAAATGGAGTGTCAGATTCAGTGGTAAAATAACATTATTGTTGGCAGTGCCTATCTATCTAACGAGACTTCCCAGCTTTGACCTCCCGCGTTCGTCGCAGTATGTCCCTGTAAGCGCATTCACTAGTTATTCTCGTGGTTTCCGCCGTAGCTCGACTTCTAATACTCATAGCGTAATATTCCATTCCTTTTGAGTTTGAGTTTGCTCACCCCCTACCCCTATTACATGGGACTAATAACATAAATAGTGAAAAGTGGGTGTTACTTCTATGTGCACCTGCCTACCCCTTCGGAGATAAAAGGCGTGATGTTATGTAATATTCCATGCTTTCCCGATAAATTGACTATCGAGCACAAAAAATGATTTTGAAATTCGAACCAGAACTTCAGTAGATAAGCGTGTTCAACGAGACAAGTTCTTCAGCATTATAATACTAAGTTTAGCATATAGATGTGTCTGGACTGTGGACACAAAAACTTCATCTGGTAAGCTGACAATCTCTCACACATGTTCCCCTTGCACGTGTTTACGAGTTACAGGCATGTTGTTAAATTGATATTTTTGTAAAATGACTATTTTGTGTCCTGATTTTGAAATATGCATGTACCTTTCATTCAGATTACATGGTATGTATACTCTATGCCCCGATAGTGTACTCTATGCCGTAGAAAGTAACGGATACTGTTCTTCTGGTAATTTGTAATTGGATTAACGATCTACTTCCTATGTGATATTTAATACAAGTGTCAATGTCTGCCTGCAAGTATATATTTCTGTATATTATATATTTCTGTATTGAAATAGGAAACTCATTATAAACAGCATAATAGGTTCGACTGATTAATTATAATTTTAAAGTCTCGATAGTTTATCGTAATGTGAAGGTTACTGCAAGTAAATCGCATTTACTGTAACGGGTATTAGTATGAATTATAACATAAACAATTAAACCATGTTTTGTAAACAAATGCTTGCGTTACTTTATGTTTGTCCTATGTTGATGGCAATTTGTGAACTAGCTAATTCGGCAAAAATGTACCTAATTTCAGAAGCAATTACGTACACCAATTGGGAAACGAATTTAAATTAATATTTATGTTATTTACGTTTCTTAACTGAACTACCGACTGCCTAACTAGAACTCATTTATCGAACACCAAATGAGTTTCTGTGTGCGACTTAAATGTAATAAAATACAAAACTAAGTTGCCAAGAAACATCAACTTTTCCATTATCAAAAAGAACGTATTTCCTCTGGACACCGTCAGACCGACACACGACAAGGCAACAACGAGCATAAATCAGTAAATCACAAATCCAGACGTTTAAAAACGACACCTATTCAACACTTGAACAACGACACAGTTGCGTACGCGCAGTGTATCGTACACCGTCGTGAATGACGGACGCGCCGTA